CTGGATTTTTAAAAGGCTCTAGCTATTTCAGGCCTTCCTAAAAAGAGGTTATCAACTTGCTTGAATGTGGCATCTTCCATTCTAGATTCTCATCTTTCTATTGAGGCTATTTTAAAGTGGCTTAGATCTATTTCTTTCCTCCTACGATCTTAAAAATTCTAAGGGATCCAAAGCATTATGAAGTTAATTTTTTCTTGTCTGATAGGTTATAATTAAATAATTATAGATGAGGGAAAACATAATAAATGCATGTCCTCAGTCCTAATGATAATTATCATTTTACAATATTTTATTTCAATTCAAATAACCTCATTCTTTAAATTGTAAATTTAAAATAAATATAGGTTATGTTTTAGGCAATTGATCGAACATTACTATAGACTCAAAAACTTTAAATATCATAGACATATTTTGAAAAATGTTTCTCATTTTAAGTTAACAAGGTGTTCTGAGCAAAGCATACTTGAAGTTGTTAGCAGGAAAAAAATTCTGTGCAAAGTGAAATCACAGGTAGAAACCACTTTTGAGATATTTGCATATTACTTGGTTACAGGTCCTTCTTTATTAGTGTAACAGGCAGAATACAAAACAGATCCCTGCCTCTTGGTTTCCTAGCTTTGTGTATTGCCCTTTCTTTTAGTCTGTCTGGGACCTGTGACTTCTTCTAACCAGTAGAATATGGCAAAGGTGATGAGCTGTTACTTCCATGTTCCCTAAGATTATGACTTCCATCATGCCAACTGACTCCCTTTCTCAGGCTTTGATGAAACAAGTGGTCATGTTGGGGAGACCCACATGGCAAGGAACTGAGAATAGCCCTAAGGCAACTACCAACAAAGAACTAAGGTCCTTGGTCCAACAGCCTAAAGAGGAATTAAATTCTACCAAAAACCATGGAGTGAACTTGGTAGTGGATAAACTTCCTAGCCAAGCTCTCCACCCAGGCTAACAATTTCATTTCAACCTCATGAGACAACTTGAAAAGGATATCTCTGACCCACATAACTGGTGAGATAAATGAGTGTGATTTTAAAGCCACTAGGTTTGTGGTAATAAATCTAGTATCTCTGGCACACAGAATAATGACCCCCTAAAGATGTCCTCATTTTAATCTTCAGTGTTTGTGACTTTGCAGATGTAACTAAATTAATGATAGGGCAATTATCTTGGGTTCTGTGCAGACCCAATGTAATCACAAGAATCTTTACCAATGAAGGAGGAAGGCAGGAAAGTCAGGGAGAGATATGAATAGGCTACACTGATGGTTATGTAGATGGAGGAAGGTGCCATCAGCCAAAGAATGCAGGCAATTCTGGTGACACCTTGATTTTAGCCAAGCAAAACCTAATTCAGACTTCTGACCTCCAGAAACATAAGATAATAAATTTGTATTATTTTAAGCCACTAAGTTTGTGGAATTTGTTACAGCAACAATAGGAAGCTAATACCATATCTATGCTTATTGGCATCTAAGATGAGTAACAAGAGTCCTTCTCCAGTACTCATCTGCTCCTAACAATAACTGTACTAAAGCTGTGAATATTAGCTTTCCTTTCCAGAAGGGAACAAATTAATATGGTACCAGTGAAGATTGTTTGAGAGAAAATTAGCACTTGTCCCACTGTCCATCCATTGTCTTGCCCACTCCACCACCTCATGATTTGCTCTGATCTTTAAACCTTATTCTTTTATTTACCTTTTTTATTGTTTCATTTTTGGGTTCTAATCCCTTTAGTCAAGGATTGTTGAACTCAAGACCATATAAGTAAAGAGAAATTGGAAATAAATGTAGCAAGCATGTCTGAGGAGGTGCAATCAGAAGGCATCTGTATTTTTTTTTCTCATTGTACATTCATGATGGCTCCCCAAAGTCAGTTCTAGCCCTCAACAAAATCTCAGCAAGATCTCCAAAATGGGTATCATAACAATCTGTAATCTGTAATTAAAATATTCAATTGAGCCAGGTGTGGTGGTGTGCTTATAATCCTAGCTATTTGGGAGGTGGAAGCAGGAGAATCTCGAATGTGAGGCCAGCCCAGACAACCACAGCAGCAAGACCCTATCTCAAAAAAGAGAACAAAAACAAAAGGGTTAGAGACATGGTTCAAGTAGTAGAGTGCTTGCTTGGCATGTGCAAGGCCCTGAGTTTGATCCCCAGCACTGCAAAAAATAAACAAATTTTAAGATAAAATGTTCAATTGCCATGTAATAATTAAATTCCCAACTCTATAAAACTCCTTTGCCCTTCTTTCAAGCCTGGAAAGTCGGCTGTGGGTTAAGGTCCATTGTCAATGTTTTCTCTTATTTCCAACATTCTTCTCTAGCTTTGTCTTCTTCCAGATTGAATTAGGGCCATGATAGTGAGATAAAAAACAGAAAATTCTCACATTATTGGCACTGGTGTAATCCTGCATGGTTTTCCTCTGCTTATGGATGACATTGATAGTTGACTCTCCCCTGTGGGTGCTTTTGTTGATTTCTGGACAATTTCTCCGTGAAATTGCTCCAATTGCCAGCCCCCTTAATTAGGCAGAACCCAAGGGCTGCCTATGCCAGCGCTTCTCAGCTTCTCTGCCTTTCTGCTAAGGCCCTCTCACCCTGGAAGAAGCTCGAGTTGATTAGGAGGCCTTAAGGAAATGATCCCTGGCCAACATTTCTATTGCATCTTCCACACCTTGCTCCAGGAATTGCACACTTTAGACCTGCCTCAATGGAAGGGTGGTCCTTTCACAAATGAAGCCTCTGCTATTTGGACATGTGCTTCTTCTGCCATTCTCACCCTATTTCCCTTGTCTGGTTTTTAAGTCATGAATTAGACTTCATGGAGAGTAAGGGGTTAAGATTCCAAATTCTAGTTTTCAGGTCCTCCTGTGAAGGTCCTCCAGTGCTCCTCTTTAGCATGTGGAAATGATTGGCATCTATTGGCATGGGGCATCTGCTAAAGCTGTCTACATCCATCTTGGCATTCTATAACATATGAACACATATGGCTTTGATTGTTTTTCTTCTTAGGATTGGGTTAGGAATCCTCAGGGATCTGAAGTACTACAGAATTAATTCTTGTCTGGCAGGTGATGGTTAAGTACTTACAGATGAGAGAAAGCAGAAGTAAAATCTATTTCTAAGAATGATGAGACATATCATGTTAGGAAATTTTACATCTGTTATTTTATTTCTAACGGAGCTATGAATAACCAGCCTTCAGGAATGGTGGGAGTCAGTATTGTTTGGGCACTCCTGGCATCTGCATCCTGCACTGTGGCACTCTGCCTCCCAGCTGTCTTAATTTCTCTGTAACTTAGTTCTGATTCTAGAGAGGGGAAATCTGATTGACTCATTCTACCATTTTGGTCCAATCAATTTGGCCCAACATTTAGGTCCAGATCTCACTCAGAAGATGAGTTCTTAAGAACCCTGGCCTACTACTGAGGACTCTGAGAGTAAATTTGGGCAGAAAAAGCCAGGCAGGGCGGACAGGTGCACTGATACGGCTGCCACACACACACTTTCTTTGGTCTATGGAGCTATATTACATTTCTTATCTTCTGGATGTTTATTTCCTGTGAATGAGAAGTGAAAACTAGAAAGCAGTGCTTTGCCTCTGTTTGTATTGCTTTTTGCATATTTCTCTTGTATCTGCTATTCCAGAGATGGACAGGCAGTGTGCCTCCCAACACTTCACCCACACACATTCTGCTGCAAGGAACATTGTCATCTATACTCCCTTAAAAGCTAGTGGCAGAATTTCTTTGAGAAATAAAGCCATAGTCGACTGGCTGGACCATAGTATTCTTGACATTGAAGGTGACCTAGTAATGCCAGATTGCTTCCCCACACACATACACACACTAGCAGTGAAACCTTATGTGATAACACTGTTGCTCTGCCTACTGCCAGGCTGGACAAATGAGAAGTTGTGGAAGCAGCTGGTTCACCATCATCCTAAGTGTCCTGGTTCTTCCTGGAGTTGCAGTTCTAACCCTCCTTTCCTTGCTCCATGAATCCCTCTCCTCCCTCACCACTCTCTACCTCAAGGCTCACGTTTACCTCTGTAGTCAGTAGGTGATGGTTTGAGCAGCCAAGGTGAGTGGATTAAGCTACAGATCACTTAGTGAGACAAATGTGATTTTCAGTGGCTTCATCAAATAACGGAGTTAGAACAGATTTCCTTTGGCTTACTCATTTGGGTAATAAATCATCAAAGCAGGTAACTGATTACAACTTAAAGTAGAAAAAGTCAGCTCTTCACCAAAATGGCAACTGATTTTTACTTATGATTTAAAAGGAAAAGGAAAGATTGAAAAACATTAGAACCCATAATATGATTTTTCTCAAGGGTTTGAGTCATTTGAAAGGTTTGGGTTACTTGGAGGAAATTAAAGAAACCATTATATTTCATTGTTTGGCTTTAGCTCTAAAGGGCTACTATTGTGAGCAACATTTCCCAATTGGTGCCTGTCTGAAATACTTTATCAGCTCCAGGGTCCTGTGCAGTGTGGGAAGTGATGTTGGCTGGGATGCTGTTTTTACATAAGCAACCTCCAATGACATTTTTCTTTCATGATGCTGACCCTAAGAAGATAATGATGTTCCAGAAATAGAGAGAATTTTTAAAAATTCCTTTCCCTTGCAGAAAACTCCAAGCAGCAATCAAAAGTAGGCTAAAGTATAGAGACTGGTTGAGTTGATGCTTCTAAAAACATTCTTCCCTCACCAAGTTTTATTTTAAGGCCCTCCTGCTCAGCAGCACACATAGTATTGCCCAATGGAAAGTGCCTAGGAAACCTTCAATTGGATGGTTTGTTTTACTTGGGAAACACTTGATTTAGGTTTCCTCTGTGTTCTGAAAGCCCTCTTCTGAGCTGTTTGATTTTCTATGCCCTGGGAGTCCAAGGAACATTCACCAACACATCACACATTTTGTTTTGAGAGAAAACTGTCACTGTTTGAGTCCGGGATCTGTGCATTTCATAAATATGTTTGTTTTTTCTCTCTTACAGAAGCTGCAAAGAATCAATACTCCTCACTGTCATTCAGCCTTACCCTGTAAGTGTTACGTGAGTAAAAGTGTCACTGAATGGTCTTGGGCTTCTAGTTTCCTGTATTCACTCCAATAAGGCCACAACAATGAATAACAGTATAAAAAAAGAACATGCATTCACAATACAGGCTTAAAAATATTGATTATTTGTACTTTGTACTCCATGTTAGCAAAACTACTCATTGGAGATAAAAGAAAGTAATGTGTCTCTTAAATATCTTGAAAGACAATCACTGTTCAGTCCTGTGAGACTCTCACATCTGGAAATGACACAAAACTCAAGACTTTCTTCTGATTGCCAGCTTCAGAATCACAAGTCTCACAGGAGTATCTAATTATACAAGGTTTAAGTAAGTTTTATTCTTGTCCCCAGTTAAATAGTTTTATAGAGAATTGGATATTGCAGCCTGTTTTAAAGAAGGCATTAGAGGAAATATGGTTGTCAGAATTTGATTTTGGGTTTGGAGAGGAAAAGCGATAAAAATCGTACTGCCTTTAATTCCTATAATTGTTTTTTTATCATGTTACAATTTTCATGCTATCCAATTCACCCATTTTAAGAGTACAATTGAATGATCTTTATAAAATTTACTGAAGTATACAACCACCACCACAGTCCAGCTTCAGAATGTTTCTATCACCCCAACAAGAGCGCTTATTCCTGCTTACAATTAGTACCCATTCCCGCCCTCAGTTTCAGGCAGCCACTAATTTACATTCTGTTTCTCTATACTTGCCATTACTTGTGAATGTCATACATTGTCAGTTAAACTGCAAAAAAAAAGACCAAGGCAAATTCCTTCAAATTTTCCCCAAACCATTATCATCAGTCCTTGTCAAGCCATTATATGAAGTAGCAGAAATTTCAGCTTCCTTAAGCGTCTACATTTGCTTCTCTATAGAATTGGAACACATCTGTGTTAATTAAAAGGTCCTGGTATTTGCCATTCTCTATCATTTAACCAAACTTTTCATCTCTCCTGGCCCAAGTTTTCTTCCTAAGATGCTGCAGGCCAGATGTCTTACACCGAATTTCAATAAGGCCATTAGTAGAACTAATCAACACAACAAATTATGCCATCCAGGGCATAACTGAGTAGTAAAGGCTCAGTTTAATACTGAATGTTACTTTTGGTCCCATCTCTTTGGGACACATACACACACACACACACACACACACACACACACTTGAATTTGAGGCACCAGGATGTAAGCAAATGAAGATTTTAGGTCTAGTGCTCAGCTATGAAATGAGTGACTCCCATAGCTACTTAGAACTTTCATTTTCTCATCTGTATGAGGACTGGTTGAGACCATTATATCCAAAGGCTTCCTTGCTATGCCATCTCGTGATTGTGCAATTTCTACAATATGCTTCAATATAAAGTACAGCTGGGCTGTTTTCAGATTGTTTCGTTAACCAAATTGTCATTCTCACTTACTTCAAATCTATCCACACTTCTTAATTTGTTTGCTGTGGACAAATACATTTCAGTAAAACCAATGTAAATGCCTGTAATAAGCAAGTGATTAACAATTATAAATTCCTGGTGTAACTTCAAGTTTACATTGTTTTTCCTGAATCCTCTCTCCCTACTTTATAACCTATTAGAAATGCAAGATCAGAACCATTTTACTCTAAACCAGGTTATTTTTGCAGCATGTGGTACAGTTTTACCCCTACAGTAATCTTAGAGAGAAAGGCATTTGGCATTCAAGTTTAAGGTATGTTTTGTGGCTTTGCTTGCTCTTTTTGCCAGTTGAGTCTGTGTGACTTGTTATTTATATGAATACTTACTACTATTGGTGAATCACAGAGCTTCCGTTTAGCACTAATGTGGAATTTTCTAGGAGTTCGGGTGACTTACTGTTATGCTATATTGAAAGTCAACACTTAGCCACAACATTAAGGAGTATTTGTGGCCTAGAGCCAGTCTCATGTTGGACTTGCCTTTGACCAACTCTCCTCCCTAAAATGCCCACTACATACTCTACTCTTTCTACCTCCTCAGCTTAATCAAATATTTCTCTCTTTCCAAGTTTCTGTCCAAATTCTAAATGCCTACCTCATGGTTTCTCAACCTCAGCACTGTTGACATTTGGGCTGAAGAATTTTCTGTTGTGGTACTGTCCTGTACATTATAGAATGTTTGGGCAACATCACTGACCTCTGCTCCCTAGATATCAATAGCACCTTTTTTCACAGTTGTGACAACCAAAAGTGTTTCCAGACATTGCCAAATGTCCCCTGGGCACAAAATGGCCCCTAGTCAAGAACCACTGTTCCACTTAAAGTCTCCCCTTACTGTTCCAGTCCAAAGTAGCTCTTCCCTCCTCCAAATTGTGGGAGCCAATGCTCCAAAGTTAACTTGAATGTGTAACACTAGACATGAACAGAAGAGCAGATGGAAGAAGAGACTGCAATTTTTTACTTATATGTTTGTATTTTGATTTTCCTACTAGTAATTGCTTCTTAAACAATATTGGGTTTCATTTATTTACTAGAAATCCTTTTAGCAACCAGGATTGATATACAGAAACAGATAACCCAGCCAATCAAGAGAATTTCCATAAATTCTACTTTTATTACAGACAATGAAGTTTAGCACTTTAGTGGCTGGGCATAGCAGCTCATGCCTATACTCCTAGCTACTTTGGAAGCAGAGATTGGGAGGATTGTGATTCAAGGCCAGCCCAGGGAAATAGTTAGCAGGACCCCATCCCAACCAATAAAAAAGCTGAGTATTGTAGCATGCACCTCTCATTCCAGCTATGTGGGAAGCATAAATAGGAGGATTGAGGTCCAGGTTGGTCTGAACATAAAAGTGAGACCCTATTTGAATATAACTAAAGCAAATAAGTCTGGCAGCATGGCAGCCTTTTCTAGTCCTTGCCCTAAAAGTGCAAGATCCTGAGTCCCAATCCTAGTACTGTCAAAACAAAAGAATTAGCATTTTAGTTTCTTTTGCAACTTGACCAGTACTTTTTATGATGCTTGCATTTTCTGTATAATAAGTCCAGTTAAGACAAGAGAGCTGATATTTACACTTTCTTGCTTCAATCTATATGTGCCCAGGTCAAGGGGACCTCAGACAAGAGTCTTCAGATTCCAAAATTCTTTGATAAGAAGTAATTCTACGTCAGGCACAGTGGCACCAATGGGGAAGCTGAGGCAGGAGGATCACAATTTCAAGTACACCCTTAGTTACATAGCCAGTTCAAAGCCAGCCTGGGCAATTTAGGAAAACCCTGTCTCAAAATAAAAAAATCAAACAAGGCTGGGGTTATAGCTCAGTGGTAGAGAACTTACCAATTAGGCACAAGTTCCTAGGCTCAGTCCCTAGTACCACAAAAAAGTAAATATAAGTAAAAAGAAGTAAGTCTAAACAGGTTGCCACCTCATCTTTTTAAAAGTATTTTGGAGAGCTCCCTTGACCCACCATTTTTACTTTTTTGATTTTTCGGGAAAAATACATAGAAGTACGGAATGAAATTCAAGATCAGAAAAATATGTATCAGGAAGCTTTTTCTTCAGAGGCAACATTTTGTAAATATGTTGACCCATCTCCTTCCAGTCTTTTTTCTATGCCTTGGTAGCAGTCACAATCACATTATACATTCCATTTTATTTTGCTTCTTTTGTTTAATATGTCATAACATTTTTTCATGTCACCAAAAATTCTTTATAAGCATCTTTTAAATGGCTGTACATTATATTGAACCAAGAAGGACTTAACTAAGCCCTTATCATTGGACCCTTTGCACTGTCTTTCATGTTCTGTTATTGTAAATAATTCTGCAAAGAATATCTTTGTATGTAAATCTCTGTCTGCATTTTCCCAGGATGGAATTTTAGAAGGGGAGTTTTGGGGTTACTCGTGGATTTTATTAGATCTTTGATTAACCAACTGCTTCCTTATTTCCTTTGACCCTGCCTTCTCTAGTTCCCAAGTCTAGAACTTTCAAAACTTCCTAGCCAATCTTACCTGAGACAGAGTAAGTCTATTCAGCCTTTCCTCATACAATCCCAACTCAATGGCCATTGGGCTAAATCACTTGCTCAGTTTTGGTGTCCGAGAGCTACCAAAAATCATATTCCCCTCAATTTTCTTCTTGGCCAAAGAGCTAAGGGACCTGCTTGCCAGCCTCCCACTTTCTAACTACCTTCCCATATGTGTTTCACACACCTGAAAGAGGTTACACCTTCCTCCTGGAAACCCCAGTGTAACAGATGCTGCCACAGTTCAAGCCATAACCTCCTGGCATGTGTCATGCTGAGCATGACAGCCCAACTTCCAGTGGGAAGCACTGCTAATTGTTTGCCTCGGTGCTCTTTCTGGCTCATGGAGCAGGATCAAAGAGCTTAGGTGTTATCACTCACAGAGGGCAGTGTCTTGTGTTCTTTTAAGTGATGGTTAGTCGGGTGCAGCCACAGCAGTGGACACAGGTGAGGCACAGGAAAACTTTACTATATGCACTGGTCGTAGAGAGACTGGGTCACTACATGGGAGGGAGCACCACGGGAGTGGACTCAACCAAGCAGGTGGGGAGCAGAGAGAGAGGGAAGATAGTGAGCAAGTGCCCTTATCAGGGGTCAGGATGGAGCACCTAAGACAAGTTGCAAGGGGAGCTAGGCATGGTAGTGCATACCAGTAATCCCAGAACTTTGGAAGCAGAAGCAGAGGATCTTGAGTTCAAAACCAGTCTGAACCACATAGTGAGACTCTGTCTCAAAAAAAAAAGTGGGAGAAGAAAAGTTGAAAAGGGGTTGCATTAGTACTTTTAAATGTCACTAGGTCATGGTCAGAGGAAGGTGGGAAGGGGAACTTGTGGCTGAAGCCAACATCATTACACTGGGGCACCTGGTTGTCTGAATCTGGTGCTCAGAGCCTGTTTTAAGAGATGTTGAGGCAGCAGGGGAATAGACAGTTTTAAAATTTGCAATGCAAGCAGCTAATCCATCCATTATGGGCAGGAGCTAGTGGATAAATACCCCAGCTTCCTCTCCTTGTCCAGTATAACTCTGAGGCATGTGGTCTGTCTTGTTCTCCATAGGTTCCCAGTGGAAGTATGCTCTAGTTGCCTACAGAATGCCTTATTTAGTAGTGAGCACTTTACTAGCTCACTCCCTCTTCCTTTCTCCCTTCCCCCACTTACCTTCTTTTGTCTCCTGGAAGGACCTTCCAAATTAGCTGTCCTCTTGTGAATCCTTGTCTTAGAGTCTATTTGTGGAGAGTCCAAACCAAGTCACCTACTAATAACTGTAGACTCATTTTCACCAAGTATTTACTCAGTGCCTTCTATATCAGTAGTACTTTAGAGCTACAGTGGCTGAAACTTAGCTTACACTTCAGTTTCAGAAATTAATCTAACTTATGTAATTTTCTCAAATTATGTTCTAGTGACTTCTAAGAGCCTCTAGAAGAATCGGGAACATGCCCCATTCTATTGTGGCCATCTTAGCAACAGCAAATTTGGGAAGAGGTGCACGGGTTGATTAGGAACCTGCTAATCTTAAAATTGATTAGTGGCAGGAAAATCTGATTATTCTAAGCACCAATTACTCATCATTTGCACAACAGAATATGAAATGCTTGTGATCAACACCTATAGCTTGCTAAGGACTTTTGAGTGGTGCACATTGTATATTTTTTGAGTAGCAAAGAGAAATCTGAATTAAAACTACAATCATGATAGTTTATACTACCCAACCCAGTAACTGTAGCCAGTGGAATAAGACATTGGTTTGTTGATTCTCATTAGGTAGCCTTCAGACTTGGAGGCTTTCTATTTTTATTATCAAAAAGTAAAAATTTTTTTTGGTGGTACTAAGGTTTGAACTCGGTTTCGTGCCCTGTAGACAGGCACTCTACCACTTGAGCCACAATTCCAGGCCTTTTTGCTCTGAATAGTTTGGAGACAGGGTCTTGCTTTGTCCCAGGCCAGTTTGGACCACCATCCTATTTTAAGCTTCTTGCCATTACTGGGATGACTGGTACATGCTACCACACCTAGCTTATTTTCCATTGAGATGAGGTCCCACAAACAGTTTTGCCCAGGCCAACCTGGAACTGCCATCTTCCCAATCTCAACCTCCCAAGTAGCTAGGATTTCAGACATGAGCCACTGGTGCCTGGCATAAAAAGTTACTTTTAAAAAATGTATGTCAGTTATATGAAGCAGTCACCAATCCTGAACAACAACAAAAAAAATACACTTCTGGATTTTTAAACTTTTATCCCAAGTTTGTTGATTTCAGATTATATACAAAGTAAAATTTCCTTAGAAACCTTGGCTGTCTAGTTTCTTTTTTGTTCACCCTAAATTACCATGTTTACCAGGAGAGCATGGTAAATAAATACGGTAATGAGGCTACCCAAGATGGACGTGCTGTAGGTACAGAAAGACTAGAGATGCATCCCCAGCATAGCAAGTTCTGCTCTATGGGGCCATTTACTTTATCAGCTCTTAGTCAGTTTTTATATAGTTGTGACGAAAATACCTGAGGGAACAATTGATAGGAGGAATGATTTATTGCGGCTCGTGATTTCAGAGATTTCAGTGTACCATCCTTGGCTCTGTTGATTCTGAACCCATGCTGAGGCAGAACATCATAGCAGCCAGAGCATGTGAAGAAGGAGGCTGCTTACCATATTGTGGACAGAGAACAAAGAGAGAGAAAGGGACACGAGACAGGTAGAACCTTCAGTGGCACAACTCCAGGGACTCACTTTCCCCAGCTAGGCCCCACCTCTCAAAGTTACTACCACCTCCCCAAAGAGCACCACCAGCTGAGGACCAAGAGTTCAGCACATGAGCCTTTGGAGGACATTTCATATTCAAACCATAATATGGACAAATAACCCTATGTATTCCCATGACCCCTGGGAACATCACTGCTAAGATTATATCAAGTGATATGCATCCAAAAAATATTGTTTTCTATTGAGGCAAAGTATTATGTAGAACACTCTAGAAAAATATGGTAGAGTATTTGAGAAAACAGAATGCACAGAGGAGTAAAGTTCAGTGTGTAGCACCTTGAACACGTGAAATATTTCATTCCCAAACAATACTGGGGAAGTGAGGTGTTACTGCATCGCAATGTCTCATCTAATTAGTACTATCTGTTCTGGGTAGCTTTATTACAAGCCACTTCACTCGTGCTAAACTCATTGTGCCAGTGCAGTGTAATAAATACTGCCTGCTTAAAATCATTAAGGAAGAGTAATGTTTTCCCTTCAGCTAAAAAGTGGCATGTCAAAAGCAAATGAACTCACCATTGTATGATTTGCTCATTAATCATCACTAAACTTGACCTATAATTACACAGATACCGATGAGAACACCACTGTCACATCACTTCAGTGCTGCAGAGGACTTTTAAAACGCAGGTTGAGTTTGTTGAACATTGGATTTTTTTTTTTTTTGAGGAGCAACCATTCAGCTTTCTTTTGGATTTTTTGTTTTGTAAGAGAGCAGCCATTCTCTTAAAATATCTTGCATAAGTGGGTAAATTGATGCTCTGAAGAACAAATCATCCATCCATCCATCCATCCACTCTTCTAAGATGCTGCTCCTAGCAAAGACTAGGATAAGTGTGGAGGGGAACTTCAGGAATAACAGGATTCTGAGCCAGGCATGGCAGTACACACCTGTAATCCCAGCACTGGGGAGGCCAAGGCAGACCAGCTGGGAAACATACCAAAACCCTTGAGAGAGGGAAAGAGAGAGGTGGGGGAGGAGGAAGAGAAGGAGAAAAAGAGGGAATGAAAGAGAGAGAGAGAGAATATCACCTAAGAACGTACAAGTTTTATCATGCTTTTTCAGCAGTGATTTTTTTTTATTATACCAAAATACACATAACATAAAATTTGCCATTCTAAAGTGTACAGTTCAGTGACATTAAGTATATTCACAATATTGTATAACCACCTTCATTATCTAGTTTCAGAACTGTTTCACCACTCCAAAAGGAAACCCTGTATCCATTCACCTTGTATCCACACCCCCTTTCCTCTCTTCCTGCTCCTGGCAACTGCTAATCTAATTTCTGTTTCTATTGATTTTCCTATTCTAGCTTTTTCCCGTGATTGGAATCTTAAGATATATGGTCTTTTGTGACTGATTTCTTTCACGCAGCATCAAGTTTTCATGGTTTATCCATGTTGTAGCATGTCAATACTTCATTCCTTTTTTATGGCTGAGCAATATTCCATTATATAGACATACCACATTTTCTTTATTCATTTTTTTAAGTTAATTCATCATAAGACTATTTGTATTTGACAACGATGGAAATCCTTTTTTTGTTCATTTTGTTTGGAATCCAAAGTATGAGTCATCCTAATTAGTTTTTGCACCTTGAGATTAATATAATACACAGAAAGTTAAGCCTGGTTTTAGCGTTAATTATCAGAATTCATGTGCAGCAGCCCCAATGTCTTAGCAATAAATATGAAACACTTTAGTCTGAACTCTAGTCAATTGCCGATTTTGACCATTTTAGTTCGTGAACTATAATCATATGTTTCAAACTAAACTTAATTATTTATCTCCATGGTATGTTCAATAGAGAATGCAATTCTCTTTAAAAATAGACAAATGAAGCTGGCAACATGGTAGACATCTACCAGATATGAATTCCCTTCCCTTTAGGCGTCATTGAAATTACACAAGGAGGATTCTCAAATGAAGTGACTTTACCCAGATCATGCATCAAAATATCCCCCTGGTTTCTAGTACAAGCAGGTTTTTTCATTGTACTTCCAATTTCAGAGGAAGAACTGTGCCACTTAGTCCCTCTTTCCAGTAAGAGTAGGGAAAGGATAAAGTGCAAACAACCTATAAGGTGAGGCAGAGTATGAAGTCAACTTTTGATTGTAAGTCAAGGTCTCCTCTCTAACCTGCCCAGTAAGACCAGAGTTCACAGGTTACCAATATGAGGCTAAAACTCAGGTTACAGATCCATAAAGTGTGCGTGTGTGGGGTGTGTGGGGTGTGTGTGTGTACTTGCTTGCTTGCTTGTTTATGTGCCCATATATTCTTAATGGGAACAACAATGGAATAATTGGTCATTTCAGAACTATCAGAAGCTCTTCTCCCCCTTATTAAAATGGGTACTAATGATCAACTCATCATAAACGCACCCACCTCAACTTCCATCTTATACTCCGAGCTCTCCATTAGAAACAGGTTTATGTACTTTCACCACAATCATTTAAAAATATCCTTGCAAATGTGCTCAGGAAGAACATGGAGCACAGTTTGTAGTTGTGATCTGGTGATGAAATCAAACTTATTACTTTGTGGGCATGATAGTATTTCAGTTATAGCCATAATTTGTATTTTGTTCTTGAGTTGGGCATGTATCAAATATTTTACTTTTCATAAAAATACTGCATAGCTTTGAGGATAAAGATGAAAAAACAACTGTTACAACATTTATTACCAGAAATCAGATAAAGTATTTTCTTTTCTCCTAGTCTCCCAAATCAGCATTTATAAGTGCTGCAAAAAAGGCACGATTAAAGTCCAATCCAGTCAAAGTACGCTTCTCTGAGGAAGTGATCATCAACGGTCAAGTGTCGGTGAGTTTACAATCACCTGCATAGTGATTCAGAGCCACAGAAGCAGGGGCTTTGTACTCAAGAAAAGTCTTTCTAGAATGTTCAATCTGGACATGGTTGTTGATTTTCATAGGGGTGTCAAATTTCAGGATCTTGAAAGGTTTGGCCCATCATCAATCAGGTCATGCCTCTGTCCCTTCTAACATAGTCAGATCACGTGATAGCCCAGTCTTTTCTAGACGGCATTCAGTGTTAAGGACCTCACTGTGCAGAGAAGTTCATTTGATCTAGGAGCACTGACATTGCCTCATTCTTATTGAATAAAATATGCCTCTTTGAAACTTGCACCTTTTTCTACCCATTGTGCCAACTAACCATGCTTCTATATGATAGCCCTTTTTGTATTTTAAGAAAAGCATTGTGTTTCCCTTGAGGCTTTCCTTATCTAAAAAAACACTGTAATCTTTGAACTCATCAAAACACACAAGAACCAAAAATCGTATGTTCTCCCTCATATGCAGACATTAGATCAAGGGCAAACACAACAAGGGGATTGGACTTTGAGCACATGATAAAAGTGAGAGCACACAAGGGAGATAGGAGGATAGGTAAGACACCTAAAAAATTAGTTAGCATTTGTTGCCCTCAATGCAGAGAAACTAAAGCAGATACCTTAAAAGCAACTGAGGCCAATAGAAGGGGACCAGGAACTAGAGAAAAGGTTAGATCAAGAAGAATTAACCTAGAAGGTAACACACATGCACAGGAAATTAATGTGAGTCAACTCCCTGTGTAGCTATCCTTATCTCAACTAGCAAAAACCCTTGTTCCTTCCTATTATTGCTTATACTCTCTGTTCAACAAAATTAGAGATAAGGGCAAAATAGTTTCTGCCGGGTATCGAGGGGGTGGGAGGGAGAGGGAGGGGACAGGGTGGGTGGTAAGGGAGGGGGTGGGGGAAGGGGGGAGAAATGACCCAAGTATTGTATGCACATATGAATAATAACAAATAAATAAATAAATAAAGATGGGACTGAAATTAGAAAAAAAAGATATATTGTATGCACGTATGTAAGTGTCATAACCCTGTACAACTATAATATGCTAATAATAAAAAATATGTATTGACTTAAAAAAAATCCAAGAAGTTGAAAGGATGAGAAGGTTTTATATATACAGCTGGAAGTGAAGAAATACCTCCCGGGTCCACATAAATAGATCTTCACAGAAAAATTATGGATGCCAGTCAGTTAACTGATCTTTAAAATGGGTAATGCAAACATGAAGAGAATGTTTCATTTTCAACTTTTTCCAAGGAAAATAGTGTTACTTTTTAGGAAAGTCTCCTGCAGGGCACTAATATGCTTTGGACCTTGGAAATGCCAGATTTTGTTGTTGCTCTTGGTGTTATTTAAATAAATTCACAGGGATCATATCTCATCCATGATCTGTTTGCTGTTAGTCAGAAACTCTTCCCTGAGGTTGATCCTGGATATTGTTTGGAAGCTGTACAGTCCTGAGCAAGGCACTCATGAGTGTATTATCAATTTACCGACTTGGGGCTGTTCCACATGGAGAACAGCGAGGCTGGCTGGTGTGTAGTCTTTCCTCATGGTGATAAAATACCTGACATACATCACTTAAGGGAGGAATTATTTATTTTTAACTCACAGTTTCAGAGCTTTTAGTACATAGTCCTTGGCTCTGTTAATTCTGGGTCTGTGGTGAGGCAGAACATCATGACAGCAAGAGTGCATGGCAGAGACTACTCCTCATATCAGATAGGAAGCAGAGAGAGAATTCCTGAACTCTTGGGCTCTCTCCATTTTCACTTTTATTCCATCCAGATCCCCAGCCTGTGAGATGGTGCTGCCCACACAGAGGGCAGGTCTTCCCCACTTGGTTAATCCTCTCTGGGAGCACCCTTACAGACACACTCAGATGTGTGCTTTACTAACCTCCTAGGCATTTCTCAATCCAATCAAGATTAACCATCACAAAGGGCCAATCTATCAAACTATTGGAAGATTGTGGAACAGGGCCCAAGGCTATCACTGTATTGGTCTGTAGGCATTTTTTGCTGCCTGTGTATGTGACCTATTCTGCTCACCCAGATGGATCCCCATTGCTCTGAGTGCAGAGTTGCCAATACCAATTCACAAGAGTGTCCCAGTAGCAGGGAAGATGATTCCAGGCACAGAAGAATCAATATATCACATCACAAAATGTCTGAAAATTACCTTCTTTCCCTGGGCTTCCAAGCACGAGAGTGGGCATCTGTAGAGAACAGGATTCCAGAAGCAGTGGTAGCAATGTCAACTCATCCCCGGACATAAGAGGGCTCATGCTAGGCAACTAGTGTGTAAGGACGTTCCTGAGGGTCAGTGGTTCCCCGCAGCCTCCCCTACCTCACCACAATCTTGTGGATGCCAGACCTTCATTTGCATATCTACTCCTCTGCCTGTGTGACCTCTTCCTTCCCAGTCTGTCCTTGCTCTTCCAAGTCATGGGTGCCTTTTCTTCTGGACTTGGATCCAGACTTACTTAGTGAATCAAATAGTGGGAAAGTCATATGGGAAGTCCATGGAAGTAGAAAGGAAGGAAGGAAAGTCAAAGAAAGAAATAGGTGATGGAAGGTAGAGATCCTGCTAAGGAAATACACAGGGGTTGCTTTCGCTCAGACTGACACTGGCAAACACCTGAGCATCTTGTCATCATTCCCCTCATCTGTAAGCCAGGGGATATAAGGTATATATGATTGCTGAGTTCCTGTGGCTCTGTGAAAAACTACATATGCATAACTCAGTGCACTCCACAGACTCACAGAACACATACAAACATGCTCTTCCCCCTTTCCTGTCTCTCATCCTTCATGATCTCCAATTGAAGGAAATGTTCAAAAAGAACACATTTTCCTTGTTTAATTTTGGTCATGTTTCAAGCTGACATCTCTTTTTGACTTATTTCTAAATTGTGATTATAGACTTTAGTGTTTTACTTTTTGTGTATGTGCGGTGCTAGGGATAGAACGCAGGACCTCGTGCCTATTAGCAAATACTCTACCACTGAGCTACATCCCAACCCTGTTTTATTCCTTTAACACACTAACCCATTCCTTATATTTTCCTTTTGTGTTGAGGGACATTCCTAAATGAGTTAAAAATAGTTTGACAAAATAACTTTACACTTGAAACTCATTCATGCTTGTGACTCACCATCATGACTGCCACCAGGCATCAGCAGTATGGTGTCATACAGCATCATTGCTTGTGCTCATTCTGCTCGCTTCATCCTTCATCCTGCTCCACGAAAGTTAGGTTCTGGTTCCAAACACCAATGCTTGATTAGAAAGGAATTATGTGGTGTTTTTTTGTTTGCCAATGGGAAATCTTGAGTTCAAAAAAGTCTGACTTTTGTGTGTTGGAGGCAAGTGAGTTATTTGTAGCTGGAAAGGAATATTGCTATGAACAGCTGAGTTCACATACCACCAAAGGGACACCATAGTTGGCCTTCTGAGAGTTCAACTGTTTTTCTTTTATGTTGCCAATGAGAATAAATGTGTGTTGCTACTGCCAAGAGTAGAAAGGAGAATTCTGATTTTGCCTACAAGCACCCCTCCCCCTTTCTTTGTTAAACAGGAAACTGTTAAGGACAATTCACTTCTTTTTATGCCAAATGTTTTGAAAGTCTATCTGGAAAACGGGCAGACCAAATCCTTCCGCTTTGACTGCAGCACTTCTATAAAGGTAAGACTCCATCTAATCTCTGTGCCTGGACACAGACAGGTTCAGAGTGAAAGGCACACTGGGAGGCCAGTTGCATAGTTTGGTTGTGTAGGTTAGTTCCATATGAGGCCATGTATGAATGCTTAAAATCAAACCAACATAAAAAACTTAAACTAAGAAGGTTCTGCTCTTTTTTCCCACCACAATGTAGTATGCGATTAGGAAACACTATTAAGAAGCACTAGGGCTAGTCATTTTAATGCAACTGCAGAGTAATTAAAATAGTGTGACTGTCACCAAGAAGGCTTGGCACCCTGCCCAAAGCCGGCATGATTTCTCAGCAATGTCAGCCACCAAGAAGATTAAGATATTAGGTGTTAATTGAATATTTGCTATTTTGATGTCCAGCAAAAAACAAGGGGTAGAATAATGTGAAGATAACATTTACTTTCAATTGCTGTAGCCACTTTCATTAGAATGATACCTCACAAATCATAACTAAGGTGTGCTTCTTAGGAGGAGCAGAGGGGGGATAAAGAGCCATGAAGCAATTCTATGATTTCAGAGCCACAAGTGAGTTTTATATAATAGGTATTAGAGCAAAACATATGGGTTCTGCACCTCCCCACCCCCCCGCCCCGCCCATGCCTCTTTCCTGGAAAAAAGTGCATGTTCCCTTTTTTTTTTAATTGTACAAAAGTGTGTTCAGAAATTAATTGCTCCCTAATGCTTCATCAGCCTAAAATAGGCTTCCTTCAAATGGCACAGTAAAAACTGTTTTATGGAGGTAAAAATGTACCTAGTGATGATCTGTACAGTAATCTATCAAGAGAATATCAACTCTGTATTAAAAATGTCTATCAGTAGTCAATTCCTAATTCTTGGTGTTTTAGGTAAATTGGCATAGACCGCATGTGTCCAAGTGTTTCTGCAAAGGCCCACTCACTGTGTATTCTTGTCATGATATCAGCAAGCATCTTGTTTTGAATTTTCTTAAATATATAGTGATTCAATAGGCAATAGAGCAGACAATATTAGCATATTGATGTTGGAGCATTAAGTCATTCTTAATCATTCCACATGAGATGTTAACTTCCTTCATATAAAACTGCTAATTTTAAATGATGACTGGCAAAGTCTTTTTCCTTTTTTCCTATTAAATACCAATTTATGGTGAGCTGTTCATCTAATTATCAATCCACTAACCAAGAGGTCAGAAAACTTTCTGGAAAGGGCCATTTGACACCTATTCCAACTGCTTAGTTGTATTGTTGCATCGGAAAAACAGCCATAGATCCTCAGGTAAGATAGTTCAGTTGAAAGACTCCCAGAACTCAGTCATTTGCTATTTTCACAGTTACAGTTTATTACATCAAAAGGCCAGTAACTGGAATAGGCACATAAGCAGGGTCCAGAAGAGGATGGATGCAGAGCTTCCAGTTTTCCTTCCTTGTGGATTCTTATAGATAGTGCATGATTCTCCCAGAAATAAAGTATGACAATATGTATGGAAGTCTGCCAACCAAGAAAATTCACCCAAGACTTGGTGCTCAGAGTTTTTACTGGGGGTTGGTCACGTACACACAGCCGACCAACCACATGGGTGACTTTAGTGTCTAGCCCCGCCAGAGAACAAGCTAAGATTGCTTGGTCCAATGCCCCAGCTAAACAAAAACACTGGTGTCAGGCAGGCCATTCTAAGGGCTTAGAGGTTCCTTCACAAAGTGAGTGCAAAGTACCATATCTTTCTTTAGGCAAGGTTAATTCATTACTGCACAAGACATTATGTGAACAGTTGGCCACACCCATATTGGACCCATGGACCATGATTTACAGGCCCCAGAATCAGCCCATAGAGCTATAATATTGCAACTCTGACACAGTAGCCTTGCTCTGTGTTACCAACTGGTCAGCTTCTTGTCATTGGACTACTCTACCCCACCTGAAGATATAGGTAAAAACTCCAGTGTATTTCTTAACAGAAATAAATCTAAATTTAAGGAAGCTCTGTTGTTAACTCCCTCTGGCCTCTTTATTATAGGAATCCACACTAGACTGAGTTTGATTTCCCCAAGGATTGCAAGTGACAATGAGAAGACAGGGAGCAATGCAAAGAGTTCATATCAAATTCAAGTTATCTTATCTTGTTCCTAACAACCTTATTATCACAATAGACACTGGCTGGTAGGCGTAAAATAGAAATAGTGCAGTTATGAAAGGAAGATGACACTGTTTAATAAAATTTGCTAAAATTCTTGCTACAGAATTACAATAGGCAAAAACTATCACTATCACAGTTTTCCAGTGTCCTCCCTGGTGGTTGAAGAGAGTGTTTAAGTATGTGTTGGCATACAAAAGCTGGTTTTCTTTTCTCTTCTCTGGTCCTCATGCAAAAATTATAAAACAGAATCTTTTTATAAAATTCTACATTATCAAGGTATTTATGTTGAATGATTTTTCTTTAGGGGGTGGGTGGTGTATATTTTGTTTCAGTAGGGCTGAAGAAATTGAAAAAGGGCCACAAAGAAGAATCAAATAGCAGAACAGTCAGGGAAAGAAAACATGATATATGGCAAGGTTTTCCTACCTGGGTACTCTTGAGATTTTGCACCAGTTAATTCTTTGCTGTGGGCTGCCCTACGCATTGTAAGATACTCAGCAGCATCCCTGGCCTCTACACACTTGGTGCCAGTGGCATCCTCAACCTCATTATGGCAACCAAAAATGTCTCCAGAAATTTCCAAATACTGCTGTGGAACAACCTTTCACTTGATTGAGAACCACCGCTCTACAGGATTTTTAGCATTTGAATATAAATTATCTTGAAGAGTTAAGTAGATGAAAAAAGTTAAGGTTGAAGAGATCAGTTTTGTATTGCAATAAACGTATTTGTGTGTGGAACACCTTTCTGGTTATAAATGTTTAATCCTGTAAAGGATTGTTGACAAAGATTGCTCGTTTCACCTTCCCAGAGGATGTAAAATAAACATATACTGTTATGGTGCCCTAACTCTGCCAAGTAGTATAATAAATGCTTTCTATATGTGAACTCATTTAATTCTTAGATATATTTCAAGACGGGCATTATCATTGCTCCCTATTCACAGATAGGGCAACTAAAATACTTCAAGTACAGTTAATAAGCAGGAGAATTGGGATTAGAAACCAGACTGTTTCTGGAGATTTTCTATCCCCACACTGCTCTTTCAGAAGGGTAGGCCAGGGCCAGAAAGCTGTTTCTGGGAAAATCCAGATAGCAAATATTTCAGGCTTCTCAGGCCAGTACTCAATGGTTAATGCAGTAAGCAAAAGCAGCCATGGACAAATAAAGAAACTGGCCCTCTGTATCCCAATAAAACTTTATTTACAGAACAGGTAGTGAGTTAGACTTGGCATGCAGGTTGTTTGGCCACCCCCTGAGGTAGAGCACTTTCAGAGCTGGTTTACTCACCACCTTACCTGTAAGAAAGCCAACTGGAACTGACTATGACACTGTTGATAGCCTTACAAGTTCCTCATCCAGCTCTTTAAATTATAACCTCTCTGCTTTAAACTCCATAAAGAGTTTAGATGATAGGGGAAGCCAGAAAAAGAACAAGAGGTCTCATTTGTATCATTAAGTTTCAGAATCAATCAAAGGTATACAATTTCAGGGCATAGAGCCTGAATATGTAACACTTTCTGGTCATGGTAGACTCCAAAAAAGGGCAGCCTTGATTTTGCTTTCATTGTGCCAATGTTTCCTTTGTAAGGATGTCATCTTAACGCTGCAAGAGAAGCTCTCCATCAAAGGCATTGAGCACTTCTCCCTCATGCTGGAGCAGAAGACAGAGGGGGCTGGAACCAAGCTGCTCTTGCTTCATGAACAAGAGACTCTAACTCAGGTCTGTGAAATGACCCCACCCCCACCCCAGTGGTGATGCTGCTAGTCAGAGCTGAGCCCCGGGCCATCCCAGAATGCCTCTCCAGTCCTTTCAATGTGGCTGCTGCAGCCCCTGGGGCCTTGCTGAGTGTGTCACTGGCTTCATAGTACACTTGACATCTCAAGGCAATGAACCCTTTTTGGTCACTCTTTCATAGATCATCAGTTGGTCTCCAAATTGTCATTCGAAGACTCATCAGTTATTCATTGGGACAACAGCTCTATAAAATTGTACTTGATGTTATAGCAATGGCTACCTTAACTGTTTTGGTCAGTGTTCTCTTGAAATCATTGAAAAGTAATGGTTTTTGAGATTTTATAAGTTAACCAAAATCATTTTAGATGTTTTAAATTCTGGATGCATACTTAAGACTATTTCGGGATGCCTAAAATCTCTACCCCATTCCTGCCTGCTATAAATATGTTATCTACCAATATGTCCCAGTTCCTGGACCAAGATGCCACCCCCATCTGTTCTCTGTGGAGGCAAACAGACTGCTTGCTACTGAATTCAGTGTAGCACACTCACTTGTCTTGTAATTCCACATAAGCAAGGATTCTTTGTTGGATGTCTAAGAGATCTCAACAAATACAGTTACGTAGGAGAGCTCAGTGATGAGAGAACTCTAGAGAAAGGGCATGAGGGGACACTAGGAGTTGAAGCATTAGGAAACCAAGAAAGCCAAAGATGGGTGGAGGGGTAGATAGTACCTGCACACTAAAGTGCTTCTTGGTTAGTGCATAATTAAAAGCTGGTGTCCTGCATATTGGGTCCTGTAAAGAGCCCTGATTCTCTTGACTCAGTCCAACTCAATATAATGAATTAGACAGTCATCATTGGTGTTAATTTCTATTCCTGCATCTAAACTTGACTTATTATTTCTATCAGATTTAAATCTACCTAGGTATTTTAAATCACTTGTAGTGCTTGTTCATTATCTTAACCTATGCGAAAACTCTCCTGGAAATTGGTGGTATATCTTATGCCTCCCTATACGGGGCAACCTCTGATGTGCACAAGCCCTCGTGGGGAAGCTCAGTGTCTGCCTTTGAGGTCCCCCAGAGGCAAAACTTAAGCCAAGGATTTGAATGCATGGAGTTTATTTTGGAGGAGATCTGAGGAAATTCTGGAAGAGGAGTAAGGGAAGAAAGATGAGAAAACTGGGACACCAATAAAGAATGTGTCATCAAGCCAATTTCCACTGTGGACAACTGGAACTCATCCTTCTTGGGAACTTTGGGTGACAGTGCAGAATACATGTCAGAGGTACCCCATGGTGGGGTACAGGACAGCAAAGCAGTTGTCAGCCAACGTGAAGTCTGCCATTGGCAGTGGGTTGTGCCTGAAGACACTGACTCCCTGGTCATTTGGGTTTGCCTTGGGCTTTCAGATGCTCACAGGTATTTGCAGTAAATAGCTTTCAGTCTGTGGCAGTAAGTGCCAAGGGGATAAGGGCAGGCAGCCAGTTGCTATGAGTCTAATAAAGTCCCCACAACTTTATCTCTCCCTTCATGCTTTCTCTCTAAACTTTATCTACTACATAGGCTTTATAGGAAACAATCATGCTGATTTAGAAGAACAAAGATTCTTTAAAAATTTCTTCTGATGCCCAATAATGAAACTTAAGAAAATTGATCTATACATCCTGAAACAAACTGGCTATATACCTTTGAAATCAATGCAATGTAATCGTTACAATTTCTGAGCAGGATAAAACTTGGTGTAATACCACTGTATGTGTGAATTATGAATGACCCTAAAATGGGTGCTCTCCACTCCTTTCCTGACCTGCTTCTCCTGAGAGCAGTTCCCTAATAAGTCCCTTGCATACAAACCCTCATTGCAGGGTCTGCTTCTGGGGAATCCAACCTAAGTCACAGGCAATGTGCAGTTTTCAGGGAATGAATATTTATGATAAACACAAAAAGAACTTTCACTGCTTTTTTTCTTGATATTTAAAGAAAATGGACTTTGCTTCTGTGTCCTTCAAGCCAGCACTGAAGGGTTCTTTTGTGATGGGTCTGTTCCTCCAGGTGACACAGAGACCCAGTTCCCATAAGATGAGGTGTCTTTTCAGAATCAGCTTTGTCCCAAAGGATCCAATTGACCTGCTAAGGAGAGATCCAGTTGCTTTTGAGTATCTCTATGTTCAGGTAGGTGAACATTTGGGCATGTTTCATGTGAACGTGGTAGGATGTATTAACCTTGGGTTTTTTCCCATAAATTTTCTAGTTAGGGATCTTCTTTCTCTTTCTCCGCCATCCTCAGCTCAATGAATCACAAAATGATTGTATGGTCCTCTTTTTATTTTTACATTTGATTTTGAAGTAATTTCACACTTTCAAAAATCTTGCAAGAGTTGTCATGTGTTCCCTCTACCCAGATTCACCAATGGTCAATATTTTACCACATTTACTTTATCATTAGTTTGGGACCTGTTCCCTGTCTCTCTTGCCACAGAAACACTCACACGTAATTTTCTAAACCCCATGAAAGTTACTTACCTATATCATGCGTGGTACTCCTAAATACACTATAATTTCTAATAACAGGACATTTCCTTATATAACCATTGTGTATTTAACAAAATCAAGAAATTTAACACTGATACATTTACATTATTTCATCTGTAGTCCATATCTAAATTATACATATTCAGCCTCAAATGTCATATCAGTTTTTTTCTAGAACAGGATGCACTGTAGGATTCCATTTTGCATTTTGTTTTCATATCTCTTTAGTCTCCTTAAATCTGAAACATTCCTTAGCCTTTCTTTGACTTTCATGAGAGTTTTAAAGAGTAACTGATCAGATACTCTGTAAAAATTTCTCAATTTGGGTTTCTCCCATGTTTTTTCATAATTAAACTGAGGTTATGAATTTTCAAGAGAACAACATGAGTGTCCTTGTATCCTCAATGTGTCTCATAAGGAGGCACATGATGGTAGTTTGTCCCCTTAATGGCAGGGCTAACTTTGACTCTTACTTGGACATTGTCCCCAAATTTATCCTCCCAAAAATTACTACTTTTCCTTTTGTAATGAATAACTTAATTTGTAGAGTCACTTTGCAACTCTTTTATTGTCCTACACCTCATCAAACTTTCACTCACTAATTTTAGTATTAATTGATGATTCTTACCCTAATCCATATTATCATGATGGCTAAAAATGATGTGTCTTAAAAATGATGTGGTCTTCCTTTATTAATTGGCATAATAGTATAAGAGTTTTCCCTTCTCCTTTATTTAGTAATTCACTTTATTTGGTACTTAGATTGCTCTGAAATATTGTGGTATTCATCATATTGGAATTAATAAATTTTATATGATAATATTTTAAGAGAACAGTATCATTTTAGATGGTGTATCAGGTTTTTTATTCTATGATATTATTCCTCCAAAATGAAAGCTTCCAGGAATGAGTGTCTGGCACACTTTGTCCCAAAGGAAATTTATGCAATTTGCTATTTGGGAGATGTTCCTTTATTTTTCTACAACTGCATCTTATTACGCTAACTTAAATTTCCAATATAATTGCAATGAACAGTCAAAACTCACTTACCTAATTCTTAGGAATCTAGTAATAGAACCACTCCAAAAGATTGTAAAACTCTATGTTACCTCTCCCTCCTCAAAAAAGGGAGAAAAATGAGACAAAAAAAGAGAAAAGGCACATGCTCTCCTTGACTGGGAACACCTCTATAAAACAAAGATTACTGGAGCCATATATAAAAAATAAAAAGCAAAGAAAGAGGAAAAAGAAATTAAAACAAACATTTGTTAATTCCAAATAGTTGATACACTGATATTTGTTGTATTTCAAAAGTTGGATAGGAAAAGAAAGTGGATATAAGATGGAAGAGAGATATAGATAAGCTACATGTTGGACGTGAGGAATGCTGACATAAATTAAAGTGACACTAAACCCTAGAGATTAGAATTGAAGTCAGAGAAAAAAGAAGCAGAATATACTAGAACATTCTAGCAGTGTAAGACCCATTAAACATTCCCTGCCTCAGTGGTCTTTGGAAGAGATTGGCTATTACAACTCAATAACATGACTAATGTTCATGCAGCTAACCCTGTATCACCAAGATAAGTCAAATCCTCTTCAGTATATACCCTGCTTATCAAGTAAAAAAAAAAAAAAGTATAGTGTGTTTTCTTCTCCAAACAGTGTCATGACTTGGGTTTTCTAAATGTTAAACTTTGGTTACTTGGACCCCTCACTTAACAATATTTCCTGTTCCCCAACAGTCCAGAGAACCCAGCCAGATATGACTGCATGAAAAAAGGATCTAATTCTGAGCTAATCTGTTACTGCATCTTCTCTGTGTTCCTGCTGAGAACCAATCCAGGGCTGGGCCACTGCAGCTAAGACCATGTGCAGCATTTATTAGCTGATTAGTTGCAAATAAATAGTTACAGGTGCTGATCAGTACACAGCTGTAGACAGGGAGCTACATTTGATGTGTGTTCTCTATAATTACATACCCACCCTGATAGCAGGATGATGCTTGAAAACCATTTGACTCTCCTATTTAAACCGTACAAGTCCATTGCATTTATAAAAGAATAACATGACTGTGTTTCTCTCGAGGAAGAGACAAGGAGTACTGCTAAACCCAATTCTGTTTAAAGTGTTTTTATGCAAATCTAATGCATGGAGACCTTTCATATTTGAAAAACATCTTTTATACCCAGGGGACTGACCTCAGAACAGGAGATTCTGCCTGAAGATCTTGCCCAGGGAATGGCAGAAAACTACTGATGATGTTTCTGCTTTCCTGTCTTGGTTGTTGTGTGGGTGGGAGATTATCTACCTCTTCGAGGAGTAGCCAGAGGTGGGGATGGATAGCAATATATACTGGACAATAGAAACTCAAATAAAGCTACTATCATTTTATTTCTCCTCCGCTGAGAATAGGAAGTGAAAATATCTTTGTTTTGGACTCTTCTTTAGAATGCTGTATCACAGAACATGTGAGTTTAAAATAACAAATCTAATGTCAGTCAACAAGTCTGCAAATGGTGCCTGTGTGCCCATGTTGACTTTATATCTAAAAAGATATTATGAGATTAGCCTAGAAAATAAAAGAGTAAGCAGAAGAAATGTATATCACTTTACAAAAACAAAATCAATCAAATTTAGCAGGCTCCTAATAATTACAGTCGCCATTGACTAGATGAAGCATGGCAATGGAAAGAGAGATTTTGATCAGTTAATCTCCCAGTCATTAATGGACCGTAAGGTCTTTTACACATTTTAGCATATATATTAACAGTAAACTCTAATAACCGAGATTGTTCTAATTCATAATTATAATTGGCTATGCTGACATTTTCCTGTCCACTGTCTATTAAGGAAAAGATTACACCAGTTAGTAAACAGGACATGACCTAAGAGGTTCCAAATGCCTGCAAATACTTCAATAGTTTTGGTTTCCTTTTAAACATCTAATATGTCAGTTATCAATCAACTTTTGGTAGGCCTAAAGTGGAGCCTATTAGGATCTCTATGTAGGAAAACAGAGACCACCATTCACTTATGTAACTATTTTAAGTAATATATTTACGAGTAATAAAAGCATGATGAATACCAAAATATACATAATTCACATTTCATACTAATTCTCCAGAGTCAGTCTGAAATAATTATATAATTAAGTGACTAATACTTGCCTTGTAGAAAAATTCATAGAGAAGTCTGGTTAAATAGAGTAAAATAGCAATGGGAAAAATGGTTCCAGCCACAACTCTTAGGAGAAGAAACAGTGATGACTCATGTTTACAAAGCAAGCATGTTTCATTTTATTAAACATTTGTACAGCTGTCATGGCAACCTTGCAAATTAGTTGTTAACTTTCAAGTTAGTTGCTAACGCTCAAGTTACTTGTTCTTGAGAGCTCACCCGTTTTTCAGATAATAAAAGACTGAAAAGAAATGAAGTGCCACGTCTAGGTCATTTGACTAGTAGTTAACAGAGCCTAGAATCAAACCTGGGCTTTGCCTGTAAATTCTATCTGAAAATCCTCTTTCAAATCCATGATGCAGTAGCAGTCATTGAAGAAAACAATTTATCAAAATGGTTTCTCAAAAAACAGATGCTGTTCCTAGCCAAGTGGCTTCCTCCCCACAATCCCTCATAGCACTATGTAAAATGACACTATCTACACTGTTAACCCCTTGGAGCCCATATGGACAACCCTTAACACTTGGAAATAACTGGGAAAACCCAAGTCTAGTAAAAAAGAATGGCACCCTGGAGTTGCTCTCAGAGGCTGCCCTAACTCAGACCGCCCTAGCTCCCGCCTCAGAACAGACCGGCTTCCAACAAGGGTCCTGTGCATTTCAGGTAGCTTCAAGATTTTACAGGGAAACAAAGGTAAAAGACCACACAGGGATGGATGTGACTTGACGTGCATCTGTCACATGTGCACAATTCTGTACAGCGTGCATGTTAAGTGTGCAGTTGTCAATAATGCATGCAGAAGTCACACAGCAGAACGTGGTCACATGCAGTGATTACAGATGGGCTTCACTTGGAAGGATGCAAACAAATCATGATTCAGACTTCCATTTGAAATCTTTTTGGGACAAGGCAAAGAATAAAGAAAAGAAAGATGTAAGAAAGCAGCTTAGTACACTTTCTAGTTCAGGAACCCAGTTTCCTGTAAGAAAAATCAGTCGACACGTATGCAGAGTCTGCTTAAGTGGTTCTGTGCTTCCCATCCACATTGAGTTCCCTGCGCTGCTCCTAAGAGGGGAGGGAGAACATACAGGACCTTACTAGACCTTACACTTCATAACACACTCTCAGCCACTTGTTTGTTGTTTTTGTTTGTTTGTTTGTGACAGGTATCTCACTATGTTGCCCAGGATGTTCTGGAATTGGTGCGCTCAAGCTATCCTCTGGCCTCAGCCTCCCAAACAAGCATCTGGGACTACCAGGCACACATTACTGTGCCTGGCCTTCAGCCACTCTTTAATTTGACCCTTACAACAAACCCTGTGAATTAGATATCTCCATTTTAGATGAACAAACTAACGTGAAGAGATGTGGAATAATTCCCACAGAGTTACACATTTGAATTATCAGGACAGTGACCATTAAAATGAATGGAGGATTTTAATAGCTGTCTTTTATGGAGTGGTACCAGGATCCTGTGATAAAGTGTTTGTGCATCTCATCTAATCCTTGAGCCACTCCACTGAGGTAGTTTTATGAATCCCCATTGCACAGATGAGTAAACTGAGGCCAAGAGTTCTAGTAAATGGTATAAGGTTTCATACGCAGGTGGCCATTGGCAAAGTCACACTGCAGAGTCGGTGCTGCACACAATTGCCTTTCTAATTCTGCCTCCCTGAAGCTGCTCTGGACTATAAGGAGGGGGTAGACAATGATGTAGTTAGGGTGTAAAAGTGTTTACAGCTAACCAGATGCAGTCCTAACTGCTTCATAAGGTTAACTCACTTAGCCCTCACCACACCCTGTGATTAGGAGCACTGTTATCCCAGTTTACAGAAAGGGAAATTGAGGTACCGTCAAGTAAGGAACTTGCCCAATGTCACACCCCCTATGCAGTGCAGGAGCAAGTTTGGAACTTGTTTCAACTGCAGCAGCCTAACTCCAAAAGCCACATGACGCTATGGGTCCTTCCCGTGTTCAGCTGCAGCACCTGTGTTTGGAAATTTCATCCTATAAATTCCTAATTATTTTTACAAAAAGCTAAATATTTAAATAACAGCTTGTCGAACATGAAATGTTTTGTGTGGTCTCTGTGTTTGTGCATACAATTAAATACTGACTCGGTTCCAAGTAACGCGGTGGAGATGTTTCCACATTTAGCCTCCATGCCTTTGAAGTGAAGGTTGGAATGCTTGTGTCACCTGTTCCTCTAAGGCAGTGCGTTGGGTGGCCTATTCGCTGATGAGCTGCGCCCTCTGCTGGTCTCTTCACAGAGTTGTAATGATGTTGTTCAGGAGCGATTTGGGCCAGAGCTGAAATATGACATCGCCTTGAGACTGGCCGCATTACAAATGTACATCGCCACTGTTACCACCAAGCAGACACAGAAAATCTCCCTCAAATACATCGAGTAAGTGTTAACTCCCAGCACCATTTGGGAGACAAGGATGTTACATGTTTTTTTTTAATCTTTGTCTCTATTTCCAAAATTTATCTTATTTATGATAGAGGCATTTGTAAACCAGGTGCAAAATGCATGAATATCATGTTCCTTTGTGGTGGAAGAGATCCCTTTCTTACATAACCCACTTTTAGAAAATTATAGTTAAAATGAGGGTCATATTTAAAATGAAGTGTGTGTTTTAAATTCCTAAAGGGACTTGGTAACCAAGCCAAGCTTTAGTCTTGGCACCTTTCATACCTTAACCTGTTTAATTCTCACAACATCCCTATGAGGTCAATAGGACTTTAGCTTCATTGTATAGATGAAGAAACTGAGGCACAGAATGAATAACTTGCCCAAGTCACAGAGCTGTTTGCCAGAGAAGGCAGGATTCAACCCCAGGCAGTGGGATTTGTCACTGTGCTCTAGTTTATGTGATGTGTTTGGAAAGTGTCTGTATAGGTCTGAGATCCCTTTTAGGTAAGTCAGAATGTAGTATCAAAAGCAATAGGCCATATGTGTGGCTCATACCTGTAATTCCAGCTACTTGGGAGGTGGAGATCAGGAGGATTGTGGTTCAAAGCCATCCCGGGTAAAAAGTTAGGGACACCCCCACCATCTCAAGTCAGGTGTGTTAGTGTGCGTCTGTCATCCTAGCTGCCTGGGAAGTTATAGGTAGGAGGATCCCAGTCTGAGGCTGGCTCAGGGCAAAAATATGAGACCCTATCTGAAAAATAACTAAAAGCAAAAAAGGCTGGGGCATGGCTCAAGTGGTAGAGCACCTGCCTAGCAAGTACAAGGCCCTGAGTTCAAACCCCAGAACCACACACACACAAAAAAAGTAATGGCTCACACCCTTAATCCCAGCACTCTGAAGGCTAAGACAGGAACATCACAAGTTCGAGGCTAGCCTAGGTGATACAGTAAGTTCCAGACCTGCCTGGGCTGCAAATGAGACCCTATCTCGGGAAAAAAAAAGTCACAGTCAGGAAACATGGTGTGTGTAGTAAAGAATTGTGAGTAGCTGGAAAGGATGCAACACACAAATTTGGCTCTGTGAATCACATCTTGTTTGGAAACTGAATGCTTCTGTTGATGAGTATGCCATTGAACTACTGCAGTATCTTGGTCCAAGGAAAATCCCCTTTTCCTAAAAAAGGACACTTTGTGTTGTCGTCTGCCCGTGAGTTTAAGGGTCATCCTTTAAAAGAGAACTCTGTCTCCTAGCAGGTGATTCAATAGTCTAAAGCAGAGAGCCAACTCACGTCTCAGAGCTTATGACCAGGCTGAAGCCACATCTCCATTTAACACTATAAGCCTTGGATCCTCTCCATCCCCATCTCCAAGAGATGTACAAATGAATTACAATCCCACCTTCCAAAGACGCCTCCCACAGGTTGCCTGTATGGTAACATGATACCAGGTTACCCCACCTGGGGACACAATGACTTTTCTGAACAGGTTCATGAGCCTGTGTTGGGAGGACTTGAGTTCCAATTTGCTGGCTTCAGTGCCACTGACTCCTGGCAACTTTCATTTTACTTGTTGGTGTTTAGGGATAAATCCTTGTGTGAAGTTTGAGTCTTTAGCGACAAATATTCATTAAACATTTTATAAAGCATTCACATTAGGATGGTAAAAAACCATGTATAAATTATAATTTGACCATCAAGGAACTTGTGGTGTTATTGTAAAGACAAGACATAAAGATATGAAAAGTAGTTTTAAAATAATAGTATAGGATTGGGAGTGCATAGCTCAGTGGTAGAGCACTTGCCTAGCATGCATGAGGCCCTGGATTCCCTCCACCCTCCACAGCACTGCAAAAAATAAAAATAATGATACAAGTAGGCCTGAAAGATCACTGTAAAGAGTGCCAAATGATGGGTAGTGACAATAAGAACGGGTACGGAAATAACATAGTGAACCCATTAATTTGTACAATTAATATTGTGTTGATAATTATAATAAATAATTATATAATTAATATGTTAATAATTATAATAAACAAAAGTCGTGTTCCTTAGCAAAGAATATAAATGGTGAATTGAGGGAAAGTTTTCTTTCAGAGAGGACCCAAAAAAGGAAAAATAATCAGAATCTTCTTGATGGTTTTCTTAATTTAGTCAACACTGGTTGGGCACACAACCAATCAAGATAGATTTCTAGAATTCAAAATATGGAATTTTCTTAGAAGAAAGCTGTAGTCATTGCTGGGGAAATGGGCTCTTGGCAAAAATACAATAAGCAAGAACCATTTGGGTATTTGTTCCTTATATATCCATACCCATGTGTGATGTTGTATCTTCCTGTCAGTACAGACACACTTGAAGGACATGAACCTCCCTCACCTTCAAAAGAAATGAACAAACAAGAAATGTTGATAGAAGGAGTTAGACAGACATGAATTGGCTGGGACAAAAGAGAGCTGTGTTCCTAGAAAAATAGCCATTGATGAAGGAGAAGGATAGAGAGGACAGTTTGGAGACATGAAGAAGTTGCATCGACCCTTCTAAGAGCAGAGAAAGGCAGAATCGGAATCAGCAAAGAGATGGACAGAAATTGGTGTTGGAAGTAGAAACTCAGACATATGAATGAATTTAAGAGATTCAGAAGTGGGTTGGAAAAAGCATCTCTTCCATTTCCATTGATCCCCTTGTCCCCATGTGTCTCCTCAGCATTCTTTCTGAAGAGTAAGGAAGGTGTTTTAAATGCAAACAGGATCAAATAACATGCTTCATGAGTGTGAATTAAAAGTTGCTTCCCTGCCTTTTCAAGAGTTCATTTGTTCCAGCAAACACCAGTCAGAGTGCCATGTTGTCTTACATAACTAATCATCACAAGAATTGGAAGTTAAGATCTGCTTTTTATTACAGGAAAGAATGGGGATTAGAGACTTTTCTTCCCTCTGCTGTGCTGCAGAGCATGAAAGAGAAGAACATCAAGAAAGCACTTTCACACCTTGTCAAGGCAAATCAAAACTTGGTACCACCCGGTAAAAAGGTATCGCATTTGCATCTTAATAGAAAATAAATTTTAAGAAGAGAGGTTTGCATGCATTTTTAAAAATGCTTAAAATTAGTCCATGCATAATATACTTAGCACCATGTTTTCAAAAGACAGTAACATTGTATAACTTTTTCAAACTGTTAACATATTTCTAAGACTAATGAAAATTAAGTATTCTTAGGGAAACATGTTTGTTTCTCACAGTAGTATGGAATGTGTGTGTTCAAGTGGTCACACAAGACAACCTTGCATGGCCTCTGAGACCTTGTGATTAGAGTATAGAATTGCAAGATAATTCTACGTTTCCATCATGTTTTTATTTACTGCTCAAGCCTGCTTAAATGCACAGCAGCCAGCAAGGGGCCCTGCAGGCCAGGTGCTGTAGTAATTAAACCAGGATTTCTCTGCTGTGGCACTGTTGACATTTGATAACAGATCATTCCTGTTGAGCAGTTGGGGGAGCTGTCCTGGACATTGTGGGGTTTATAGCAGCATCCAACTAGATGCCAGGATCACTTTTCCCCTAATTATGACACATACACAAAAAATGTCTCCAAACATTATCAAATGTGCCCTGGGGAACAAAATCACTCCCCCACCCCGACAGTCATTGGATTAAATCCCACTTTTAGAGGAAATATAAAATTACTTCTGTCAGTCATCATTAGTTTTAAAATCTTTGTGGTTTTGTTGTTGTTTTCATTAAGTAGGAGAAACACAAAGGACATTTTAAAAAGTACTGTTGGTCAGAAAAGAAAGGTGTGGTTTATAAATAATAAAAAGCAGAGGATTTCAATAAGCAGAGAGACAAGGAGCCCAAAGTCACTGGAGCTATAAAATGGGAAAACAACCCAAGAACACTTTCTAATTGATATTGGCTCTAATACAGTTTGCTGTCCATATGGATAATTCTTTGGTCCTAATATCTGATTTTCAGTCATTTTTACTGGCTAAGGCACACTTATTTCTATTCCCTCCTCACCTCATAACATTTTTTAAACATGTACTCAGGTTCAAGACAACCTCAGGCACATTTAACTTATTTCCTAGTTTCATGGGAGAAGGCTTCCCACCACCGTGTACATTCAACTCTAGAAATACAAGCAAGATACTGTGGGTCAAGATTTTTTCAATTTCAGTTCTGAGTTGCCCAAAGCTAATTTCTGTTCATCGACTTGTGATTTTTGTTAAGCCTGGCCCACTGATCTTGAAATAATTTGTTAACTATTATTAGTCCTACCTATTATTAGTCCTATCTATCTATGTATCTATCTATCTATCATTATTCTGTAAAGGTTAGTTTTTCCAGCCAAGAATAAGTGGTTTGTTTTCAAAACAATTTGTAAATTGTTTTAGAATTTTGAAAGAAGTAAAACAAATAAATGGCACTAAATTACAATTACATAAAGAACATTACCTTTAGGGATAGTTAACCAAATGAGTTGACAAATCATATGCAGTTGGAAGAGAATTTACAGTCACTGCTACTTAATCATAATCTACACCTTGTTGAATATTTCACCCTTCACAAACATTCCTGCACATTCAGTATGAAACACAGACATATTTTTAATCAAATACCTTTTTTAATGATGTGGGAGCCTATATTTTTAGTATTTATAGAGATAAATTTTACCTGGATAAAATTTCATTTGTAATTCGTTCATGAAACTCAACAGATTTTCAGAGTTGAATTAGCAAAACAAGGATTTGTGTATCAAGTTCAAACATTTCCACAGTGATTAGCACTCAGAAAGTTCATTTTTTTTTCCTGAAAACTTGCAAAGATTGGAAGAAACTTGAGGGGGGAGGTGTAAGAGCCTGTTTAAGAGGCTTTGCATAGATGTCAGCTCCCACAAAATCTACATACAGGTGAGTCTTCTGTGCCATGGGAGACTGTGTACAACCCATCTTTGTCCCTAATTTCAGTTGGAAAGCACCACTCGCTTCTTACAACTTTCCAATGGGCAAATGTTTCCTGGACCACATATCTGTACACATGAGACCCCATGCACTCCCTCCAAAGTGAATATGATTGAATCTTGATTTCATATTTCAGGCCATCATCAGGAAACCCAATTCATAGCAGTTTGCTTTCCTTCCTGATGAAGAGTCTTTGTCACACTCCCTCTCCCTAACAATAAAAGCATCCTACTAGTTTGCCCTTTCTTTTTCCAGCTGGTCTCCAGGTAACATGGAGTCACCCCCAACGGAGTCCACATTTGAGCTTTCTTTTCTCTCCTCAGCTCTCCGCATTGCAAGCCAAGGTTCACTATCTCAAGTTCCTCAGTGACCTGCGACTATATGGGGGCCGTGTGTTCAAGGCAACATTAGTGGTAATTTCTTTTTTCTTGCTTTTTCTTGGGAGCTATGGAAGCCTGCAAAATGTCACTACAGAGGCTGTCTTCAGTGAACTGCTCCTGATGACAAAAGCAAATCAGCTGTGAATCTTTCCCAGCCTTCACTCCTAACTGACTTCCCCATGGTCTGAAAGTCTGATGCAATAAGACTAGATAACACCAGTAGAGAATGTCCTAGAAAAAGAAATGTTTAGAAATAAGAGAATCATAGGACTCTAACAATGGCCACCTTTTAAACCATTGAGCTTGAAGTTGCTTTCACACTGAAAAAAAGGAAAATCCCCCACAAGCCTCACTTCTAAAAGTCTCTGATGATTATGAATATATTGTGTTATGATAGCATTTACTTTTTAACTTCATAATTTATCAGAGCCTGGATGTAATCACATGTCTGGTTCTTCCAATTGGATCATTTACTACAGTGTGACCCAGAAATACTTTTTGAAGAAAATAAGGTCTTATAAAAACAGGCTCTTAGGTTCAGCTTTTCATGGTGCTTTAGAAGTCCAGGTTTTAAAATATTTTCTCAACATTTCTTTCTCAGCAGGCGGAAAAGCGTTCAGAAGTGACTCTTCTGGTTGGGCCCCGCTATGGCATAAGCCATGTTATAAACACCAAAACCAACCTGGTGGCCCTTTTAGCTGACTTCAGTCATGTCAACAGGATTGAAATGTTTACTGAAGAGGAAAGTTTGGTGAGGGTGGAACTTCATGTGCTAGATGTGAAGGTAAGCCTTTTAAGTGTTGACACATGGCCTTGGTTTGAGCATTTTGTTGCTTGTAATGTTGTGGGTATTAACAAAGCAGGCAAAAGTTGGTACACGAAAAGTCTACCCAACTCAGATGAGGGCTCCAGGCCTCACTAAATAGCTATGTTAGGTAGGGACAAGTTGCTTTTCTAGGTACAATTTTCTTCATCTATACTGGAGAAAGCAAGCTTCATCATTTCTAGGTTCCTTCTGACTAGAATATGACTCATAGATGGTCAGGGAGATTTTTCCCAACTAATTTTCTAGACTATATGACACACATAAAGAGTCAGTGATATTTTCCCCAACTTTCTTTAGAATTTCCATTCCTTTTGGTTGGATTGGGTCCATATGTGATTATTATTATTCTTTTGGAAGAGCTGAGAATTTTAGTTAGTTTGTCATCTTATGCTATAGCAATTGGTATAGCTAAACATCTGACCCTTGTGAAATGTCATGGCCATTCATTTAAAATAATAATCTGAGATTGTGTACAATGGGATAAATTCTATTCCCCAAAATAGAAATTGTCAAGAAGCAATCCAGTTTTTCTATGCCCACCATCTTTTCTCAGTAAAAATGAGTTGCTGGATTTTGACTATATGAATATAGTTCATGGTTCTATGGAGAAACCACTGGGCCCAAAGGAATGTGGTGCCTACACAAAGGAGATGGCACCAGTCAGGAAGGGTAGATTAAGGGTAATTGATGTGATGGAAAAGAGTTTCCACAGAGCAAAGAAGAATGCTTCAGTGTTCCTGCAGAGTACTGCAGCAGGAACATATGAGCAGGACAGAGAAAACATGGAACTCAGACATGTTACCTGTGCCTCGTGGGATTTCATGGGCTGAATCCAGATAGTTCCAGTTGACTGCATGGCAAGCTGCAAGTGTGAGAATGAACTTGGAATGGCTGTCCTAGCCCATACCCTGATGCTGAGAAAAATAGCCCCATCATGGGAAAAGGGCAGAAAAAGAGTGAACTGGATGTAGTTACTTCAGACCTTATAACAGAGATAAAAAAAATGAGTGGTGAGACCCTACTAATGGTGTCCTGCTTGTATCAAGTAATGCTGGGGTGGCTTAAAGGCTGAGTGGAGACCCCAAATAGGATGAAAAGAAAGATAGTTCAGCAGGGTGCTTTGGATGGGAAGTTTTGTTTCATCAGCTAGGGACATTGATCCTGGCCAGTCAGAGTAGAGGCTTATCATGTTGCTTGTCTCTGCCTCTCTTGGTGTCTGTTTTCTTTCCTCCCTTATTTCTCTCACTCTCAACAACACACCCTTCCAACTCAATATGAAAAATTGTTCCTTGAATACTTCTTTCCCTTTATACCCAAGATACATGTCTAATTACATAACCTCATTGTTTCTAGTAAGTTTTTTAACAAGGCCTTTTCTCACCTCTCAGCTCTAGTTCACCTTTCTGTAAATTTACACATGCTTTTGGAAGTATCCTTTTTCTAGATCTTGTTGGCACTTTTCATTTAGTTTTAGCAGAAATCTCCACTTGATATTTTTACTTCTCTTTAACACTATTTTTCACCATAAATTCCAAACTTAATCTCCCTATGATTTTTTACATCTGGGATTCACTTTTGGTAACTGAGGTAACTCATACTTAACTATCACTTTTTTTTTAAATGTTATCTATTGGAGAACAACATCAGTGTTTTTTGATTTTTGTTTTATTCCAATATGATTTGAAAGAGATCTAAAATGCTCAAGCTTTGTAAATGATGTCTCTTTAATGTTATTGCTTGTTCTTTCTTCCCATTTGTGTTTCTCCAGTGGAATGTTTGCCCAATAACTTCTTTTCTCTACATTTCATAAACATAAATACAACTGTTGACACTCAGGGAGGTTTAAAAAGGAAGGATGGCTTTAACCAAAACATCTTTTCTGTGTAGCCCATCATGCTCCTGATGGAATCATCAGATGCCATGAATCTGGCCTGCTTGACAGCTGGATACTACAGACTACTTGTGGATTCCAGGAGGTCAATATTTAACATGGCCAACAAGAAAAATGCAGGAACCCAAGACCCAGGTATTTTCTTTCTAAACTCATGAAGCACTGACTTTCTCCTCCACCACCACCACTTTCAGAGCTCACCTGAAAACAATAAGGGTGTTCTCCTTAAAAAATTAAAATTAGGCCAGGCATAGTGGCCACACCTGTAATCCGGGCTACTTGGGAGGCAGAGACTGGGAGGATCACAATTTGAGGCCATTCCAGGCAAAGAGTTAGCAAGACCCCATATCTATCAATATGCTGGGAATGGCAGTACACAACTGTCACCCCAGCTACGCTGGAAGCAAAGCAAGAGGATCAAGGTCTGAAGATGACCTGGGCAAAACACAAGACCCTATCCAAAACATAAATAAAGCAAAAACGGCTGGGAGTGTGGCTCAAGTAGTAGAGTGCCTACCTAGCAAGTAAACCCTGAGTTCAAACCTCAATACTGACAAAGAAAGAAAAAGTTAAAATTGTACCCACAAAATATCTAACACCCAAATATAACACAAAAGCCTTCAAATACTGCTGGTATTGTCTAATTGCTTAAAATGAGCATGCTGATTTGACATCACATCTGACATGTCACTTGGAAATGTCAGGTGCTTGCTTCAAAGGCACTGATTTTATTTTGTGAAAGCTTTTATGACTGCTTTTTTCTTTTTTTTTCTTGTGGTGCTGGGGATAGAACCGGGGCCTCGCATATGCCAGGCAAGTGCTCTGCCACTGAGCTATATCCCCCAGCCTTGTGGCTGCATTTTTATTGCCTCACTCTTTCAGTAGCCAAGACATAGAGAACTAAGGATGAAATACCGGAGTAAAGGTTGTGAGCCCCCTGCTCTAGGGCTACTCTTTCCTTATGATTTCTTAGGTCCAGATGTCTGGGATGCCCCTTCCCCGTGGTCAGACTTATCTAGGATTCTGGCTACTTTATCAATAGGCAGAGGTGGGTATTGCTTAGCACTTGAACTTGGGATCTCTAGCAGGAACTTCTTTCACCCTGGCAGCCATCTTATATCCATAATGGAAGCACTGAGATGGCAAAGATATCAAATAGTTCACTCCTGCCACTTGACAGGATGCAATACCTTAGAAGTGAGGACAAGGGGGTCCACAGATGTTCAATTGAGTGTTTCTTTGTGACCGAGTGGTTCTCATTTGTTTTAGGATTTTTCTTCTTCAGAAGTTGAGCACTTTCATCCCTCTACAGTAGATGCGCAAATGTAACTAATAGGCACCACCAGTCAAGGCAGAGCCAATGACCCATGAAAAAATGATGATCACAGGTTCCATAATAGGACTTCTTTTAAAAGAAAGGGAATTCTTAAAAACAAATCTATTGTCCATTGTTTCTGAGAGAAAAGGAGGAGAGGAAAAAGAAGGGAAACTGAGCAGAAAACTTTAATCTGTATTCCTTAAATTCTAATGTGTAGATACATACATGTGTGTACAGGCTCATACATGATTTATCATGATGGCTGGATAAGTGGAAGCAGTTACAGTCTTAGGAAATGGGACAACAGAGAGAAAGAGAGAGACAAAGATGGACAGTGTATGTTAGAAGGCAACTTTGACTTTCCAATCCAATGAATCTAAGATTTCACCCAGCCCCACCTGGAGGTGCATGTGTTTTCAAATTTCTCTAGGCTTGGGTTTGCTTATTTGTATAATGTATGGATTGAAAACTTAGCTTGAAAGGTAAGGGTTAGAAAAAAAAATCTATGTACAACACCTAAAAAATGATGCTTAATACTTCTGCTAATAGTTGACGGTAGAAAAAATTGAGAATGAAAGTGACAGGAATGCAGAAGGGAGAGGCAGGCAGAACATGAGACAAAGCCTTTGAGATACCCAAATGATTAAAAATAATTCGAGAAAGGGAATAAATGAAAACGAGATGGTAAGTTTACATAGGGTTTAGTGGTGAACATTTTTATGACCACATGTTTTCACTGAGCAAGGAGATTTACAGCAATTCAACAATGACCTTTGAAGTTCCAAAGAGCAGTCCAGCAATTTAACACAATCCTTTCACACTGAAAAAACAGTTTGGGGCTTTTTATTTTCAAATCTTAAAGTTTACCTTGAAAATAAAACCTTTTCTCCAAGGACTGTTAAAATTGTACACGAATAGGAAGAAAACTAACCTACCATTCTAAAAATGATTACAGTAATAGGGTCTCAGTTCTGTCCAATTTATCATGACCCACAATGCAATGTTAGTAAGACTGAGAGGCAAAACTTACTTACAAAAAACATTATTACTGGGGGGCAAGAATGGGACTTGAACCTCTCAGTGATTTTGACCGGTTCTACAGCAAGAATGAGGGTGCAGACATATGCTCCAGATACTTCCCCCACTCTGAGAGAGGGTAGCATGGATAGGAGACCCAGATAACACCCCAAAAAGAAACTGATAGACCTAAGCTGAGCCCTTGGACTTGGTACCACTACTGGGTACAAGTACTCTTCTCTTTGGAAACTCCCAGAAGTTCTTCTGAGATGTAAACAATGTTGAGAATGAAGTCCATTTAGGCCAGTTCTTTCCTAGTCCACTGGAGACAGAACCACAGACTAGATTTCAGTTCCACTCCAGATCCTTCCTTGGCTCCAGAATCATTCCAAGAAGCCAAAGTAGTATATCCTTCTGGAAGGAAGCCAAAACTGAGCACATATTTTCTTCTCATCTCAAATTCAGATAGATCTTAGATAAGATCTCTAATAAGGAACTGTAAAGCACCATTTTTCCCCTCTATCTTGAAAATTTACCTTCAAGCACTTTCAAAATTCCTGTCCCCACATATCTATACATCTCTGGACTTCTGGAGGGTCTGAATAAGTGTCATTAACTTGCTTTTAGCCACCTAACCTATTCAGTTTTCTTGTTGGCCGAAACCAGGAGTTGGCAAACTATGGCCAATGGGCTGAATCTTATAAAATTTTATTAGAATTCAGTCATGCACATTGTGTTATTTTCCTGGGACTACTGTAACAAATTATCACAAACTTGGTGACTTCAAACAACTGAAAATTGGGCTGGAGGTGTGGCAGCCCAATTGCACTTGCTAAGACCCTGCATTCAAAACCCCAATACTGCCCAAAAAGAAAAAAAAAAGAAATTTATTCTCTCAGAGTTTTTGAACTGTGAAGTCCAAAATCAAGTTGTGGGCAGGGCCGTGCTCCCTCCAAAGCATCTAGGGGAGGATCCAGAGTAGGGGAGAATCATTCATTGCTTCTTCCCACTTCTGGTGGCTGTCAGTATTCCTTGTGGCTGCATCACTCCAATCTTTGCCTCTGTCTTCACATGGACTTCACACTGCCCAGATCTTCCTCTGCCTTTCTCTTTTGAAGGCACTGGACATTGAATTGAGCATCCATACTGATAAATCAGGGTGATCTCATCTCAAAATCCTTAATTAAATCTGCAAAACTCTTTTCCAAAATATAGTCACATCTCCAATAAAATCACATTCAAAGTGGACCCATCTTTTGGGAGCTGACTTTCAACCCATGTTCCCATTTCTTTATGTATCACAGTAAACTGCAGGCTTCAGTAGTTCTACTAAACAGTTGGCCTGAGATACCTAAAATATTTACTATCTGGCTTTCCTTTACAGAAAATATTTTCAACCTCTGATTTGAACCTGGGTTTCTGTTACAACTTTGCTGTGCCACTCTGCCTCTCAACAACTCACATTACACACACACACACACACACACACACACACACACACACAGAGTCCATCATAATGTAAATTCTTATTATTGATAAAACAATGACAAAGCCACATAGGTGTATTGATTATGGGGTAAGATGCAAATATGGCCAATGTATAACTCTGTCTTCAAAATTATATCTTTTATTTGCTGTTTATAAAAATACATGCATTTAGTAAAATGACACTGAATATTGTTCATTTTATAATTTAAGGCAAGCAAAAATCACTTAAGGGAAACTGATTTTCTTTCCCATATGTCTTGTACATCTCATGTCAGTATTACCCAAACTTGAGCCAGGGGGTGATTTGAAGGAATAGATGGAAGAATGGTAGGGCCCTAAATTTTCCTTAGAATGTTGCCTCTGGAATCTACAAAGTAATATCAACAGAATGACCTAGTTCCCTGTCTTGTTAAATATCAGAGCAAATCTCCACATGAAAATTCCATATTAAGAGACCCTTGAAGAGCGAACAAAACAATAATATTTAAATTAGGATTTTGCAATTTTAATTCATGAGGAACATGAAACAAGTCTTCATGGGTTTCCATGATACAAACAAAATTGAAATTAGTCTAAATAGTAACTATGCTTAGAAATAGCATAGAGAAATACCTCTGAATGTTCCACCTTATACATTGTATACAGGCATACACATATGTACAGGTATGCATATTGAGATTTATACATGGATATATTCCACCTAGTAAGATACAAATAGGCTGAAGATAGAGGTATGGTATTTATTTTAGTTTTCTCAAAAATGTGGTATAAGTACAAAGATCCTTGGCCTTCTCTTAACTCAAGGAGGAAAAAGTCCGGTATTCTTCTTCCACCAATTAGTGAATGTTAGATCTCATTTTATAAAGCAAAGGACAATTTATTTTCTGGAATAACAGCCTATTTAAAAATCACCTTTAGGGTTGTGAAAGGCATATTGTATATTTATACTCATAGATGTAAATGAGGTCTAATAATAGAACTAAGGGTCAGAGGGAATTAAGCTACAGTTCCCTATTCACAGATGGTATTGCATTTTATCAAATAGGAATTATATTTTATATAGTATCAGTTTTGTTAAGGGCATTCTCCTAATTAAGGAATCCTTACACCTGGAACCCACATCAACCAGTGCCATATTTGGAAAGTCAAGTTAACTATATTTGCACAAAGTGATGTTACAAGCCATTAAATTAAGAAACACACATGACATCCCTCTCTACTCCAGAGAGCATAGTAATGTGTCTGCATGATTCTTTCTCTTTAGGAACTGAAAATAAAGGAAAGCATAACCTCCTTGGCCCAGATTGGAACTGTATGGCCCAAATGACCACATTTATTGGTGAAGGAGAACAAGAAGCCCAGATAACATATATAGATCCAAAACAGAAGGTGGTTGAGATGGCAGACAGCAGCGTATGTCCAAAAGATCACCGGCACTTGTACATGGACAGCACATATAATTCAGATGAACTGAGCCAACCGCTGACCCAGCCTGGTGATGCCCCGTGTGAGGCAGACTACAGAAGTCTGGCTCAGCGGTCCTTGTTGACTCTCTCAGGACCAGAAACTCTAAAGAAAGCACAGGAATCTCCGAGAGGAGCTAAAGTGTCCTTTATTTTTGGAGATCTCGCCTTGGATGATGGCATCAGTGCCCCAACTCTGGGCTTTGAAAGACTGTTAGATGAGAGTCCAGAAATGCTAGAAAAGCAGAGGAATCTCTACATCAGCAGTGCCAATGACATGAAGAACCTGGACCTCACTCCGGATGCAGAGAGCATCCAGTTTGTGGCAAATTCTGTGTATGCGAACATTGGCGATGTGAAGAACTTTGAGGCCCCTGCGGACATAGAAGAGCCCCTCTTGCATGACATCTGTTATGCTGAAAACACTGATGATGCAGAGGATGAGGATGAGGTGAGCTGTGAGGAGGACCTCGTAGTGGGAGAGATGAGCCAGCCAGCCATCCTTGACCTGTCAGGGTCAAGTGATGACATCATTGACCTCACATCTCTGCCCCCTCCAGAAGGGGATGACAACGAGGATGACTTCCTGTTACGTTCCTTGAACATGGCCATCGCTGCACCCCCACCTGGCTTTAGAGACAGTTCGGATGAGGAGGACACTCAGAGTCAGGCAGCTTCCTTCTGTGAGGACAAGGAGCAAGGCAGCAGCCTGCAAAATGATGAGATTCCTGTGTCTCTCATTGATGCTGTGCCCACCAGCACCGAGGGCAAGTGTGAGAAAGGACTGGATCATGCTGTCGTTTCCACACTGGAAGCTTTAGAAGCTCTGTCCGTGTCAGAAGAACAGCAGACCAGTGACAATTCAGGTTCTTTCACGATTGTTACATTTATTCACTAATAACATGTGATTCCATCCTTTTGAGCCATTTGTCTTGGAATCCTGTTATGTGCTGTATTCATTTCACGCATGTCTCATTTCATAAGTATACTGAAGTATCATGAGGCTTTGTGTTATACAATTTCCTTTGGCTTTTTTGTTTATTTGTTTGTTTTGTTTTGTTTTTTAACATATGGCACTTTCGCCTCCCCATTTCTGGAACAACTGTGCGATGAACTCAGAGTCCTTAATGAAAAGGGAGAAACTTGTTTTCATATTTGTTTTTTTTTGGTTTTTTAAAATAATGAGTCCCATTTTCTTTCATGTCTCCAAGTGCCTATGCAGCATCCATTAACTGGTTCTTGTTTTTTACGGCGTGCAGGTGTAGCCATCTTGCGGGCTTACAGCCCTGAGTCTTCATCAGACTCGGGCAATGAAACTAACTCTTCTGAAATGACTGAGAGTTCTGAACTGGCCGCAGCCCAAAAGCAGTCAGAAAGCCTCTCCCGCATGTTCTTGGCTACTCATGAAGGCTACCACCCCCTTGCCGAAGAGCAGACAGAATTCCCCACCTCCAAGGCCCCCGCAGGGGGCTTGCCTCCCAAGTCCTCCCAAGGCCTGGCTGCTCGTCCAGCGACCGACCTCCCACCCAAAGTTGTGCCTTCCAAGCAGATACTTCATTCAGACCACATGGAGATGGAGCCAGAAACCATGGAGACCAAGTCGGTCACTGACTATTTTAGCAAACTGCACATGGGGTCAGTGGCGTATTCCTGTACCAGCAAAAGGAAAAGCAAGCTGGCCGAGGGGGAGGGGAAAATTCCCCCGAATGGCAACACACCAGGAAAAAAACATCAGGGATCTAAAACGGCAGAGATGGAGGAGGATGCCAAAGGCAAAATTGGTACTGTGTCTTCCCGGGACAGTCAACACCTTAGCACTTTTAACCTGGAGAGAACTGCCTTTCGCAAGGACAGCCAAAGATGGTATGTGGCCTCTGAAGGTGGAATGGCAGACAAAGGTGGACTGGAAGCAGCAACCGGGAAAGCCTTTCCCAGAGCTTCTGGTCTGGGAGCGAGGGAGGCCGAAGGGAAGGAGGAAGGGGCTCTTGATGGTGAAGCCAGTGATGTTCCAGGACTTGGCCAAGGGGACCACTTCTTAACAGATGTGGCCTGTGGGTCTTCAGCCAAAGACGTAGACAACCCTGAGGATGTTGACTCGCCCACTTGTGACCATGTTTCCAAGCTTCCTGAGGCTGAAGAGAGTGTAGCCCGCCTGTGTGAGTACCACTTGGCCAAGCGGATGTCATCATTGCAGAGTGAGGGCCATTTTTCTCTACAAAGCTCTCAAGGCTCTTCAGTGGACACAGGCTGTGGTCCAGGCAGCAGCAGCAGTGCCTGTGCCACTCCTGTGGAGTCTCCCTTGTGTCCCTCTATGGGGAAGCACCTGATTCCAGATGCTTCTGGGAAAGGTGTGAGTTATATCTCATCAGAGGAGAGAGCCACGGGCCTTCCCAACCACGGAGCCACCTTTAAGGAACTGCACCCACAGACAGAAGGGATGTGTCCACGGGTGACAGTGCCTGCTCTGCACACAGCCATTAATGCCGACCCTCTGTTTGGCACTTTGAGAGATGGATGCCATCGGCTGCCCAAGATTAAGGAAACCACAGGTACAGCAATGATGGATTTAGTGCTTAGCATCACACACCAGGAGCATGTTAATCACATTTACAACAAACCTAAAATTATAAAGTCTGGAAGAAAAGTAAAAGGCCACAGAAGGTTAAATAGCAATCGCCAATCCCTTAGTATTTAATAAATAGTAGTTTCTAGGTCTGAAACAATGTTAAAAATGGCATTTGCTCTTCCTAATCTCACTCTGCTCTTGGTTTTAGATGTAATGGAGCAATATATTTTTTCTAAGTTCTAAATGCAGACTTTTAGCAAGGCCTGGTATGACTCTTAGTTTACAAGGTAACATTGCTTAGGGCCACATAACAGTTTGATTTCTTTCTCAAGATATCTCATTTCTAGTTCTGCTGTTTCATTCCTGAGAGACAAGGGTAGATGATAAAGTAGGCTCTCAGAAGACCAGAAGGGTCCAAGAGACCATTTGCCTTTCAGCAGCTTTTCAGATTCCTCCCTTCCCTGGGCTCCTTCCCTCAAGCAGTATTGTCAAATGTCTATCAGACCTGAGTGTTAGGAAGACTTTGGAGGTGTACAGGTTGAGCTGCTGCATTTCCCCTAAATAAGAATCAAGATCAGGTAGAAACAAGAATGCAGCAGGTACCTTCTGTACCTGCCCCCATTCACCACCCAATAAGCATATGTTCCTCTCACCCATCCACATGGCTGGCTATTAGGTGGCAAAAGCAGGTGCACCTTATGTTTCAAATTATAGCAACAACATCTTCTCCATGTTGGTTAATAGATGTTACTAAGGTGTTTTATAAGGGTTAATTTCTATTCCCTTAAAATAAAAAGTCTTTAAAAAAATCTTAAACATTTTCTGTTTTCCCAAAACCTATTACTGGCTTTGTCTGCCTGGGGAAGCCATTTGTGAATGTTACCTAGCTCATTATCCAGCTGCATCTTCACCTATAAATGAGTTAAACCAGACTGTTTGATCCTTCATGGTTTACATAGAGCTTTCACCTAAGTTAATGTTCATTCCTCTTCACATGACAGCTTTTCTAAGAAAACTTGAGCAACTTGCCCCAGGTCTTGACTTCAGGCCCTACACCTCATACCTAAGGCTGTCCTCTTATAAAGTTTAGCTGAATTAATTTGCATTAATTAAATTAGGCCACTTCTTTAAAATAAAAAAAGGTTACCAATGCCATGATGAACCCAACTTCCTTGAAATGACATTTAAATTTCTTAATGTATACATAGGATGTGTGTTTTCTATGTATCTAAACTTTGATAAATACATATTGGGAGCAAGGCAATTCATGAACTACGATTGTCTCCCTGAAAATGTTTGGAATTTCTAGATAATTCCAGTGAATCAGTAGTTCCAAAAATAACAGATTCCAGTATTCCTTGCTATCCATTGAAATAGAAATCTGTTATGAGGTATCAGTACACAGTCTTTGGAAAGCAGGGTGGCCCTGACCTATCTGTGGTAGCCCTTCTAGAATGCATCTTTGGAAAATGACAGGCATCACATAAGAGATATAGGGGAAATGGCCACCCAGTAGATGCTTAATGAATCTCTCTGTTTTTCTACTACCCCTAGTGTAGCTTTGACAGAGCCTGGGAAGGAGAGACGAGGAGGCATGCCTTCAGCTTGGTCTCAACATCCTGAAGCTGATCCCATCCTGCTACCATCAAACATTCACTCGGAATCAAAGGTGCCAATTCCAAATCAAGACCCTAATGATTTCTCCCAAGCAAACCAGGCATTTGGAGAGGCTGTGAGCTGGTGGCCAGCAGATCTGAAAGGGGGGAGCCTCAGGACATCCCCCAGCCAGAGGGCTCTCCAACATAGCAGCAGTATCCTCTCAGGACCTGTAGGTTTGGAGACCTTCCAAGAGAGAACCAAGGGTGTAGTCAGCTTGAAGTATCCAGGTATCACACAAGCACAGGAGACCAGTTCAGAAAGACGAGCAGAACTCCCCCTGGGGAAGAAGCTCACCAAAAGTTTTTCCCAAAGTTCGATGCACTTTAGCTCTGAAGGGAGGTTTCACAAAAGATCCCCAGTGGCTCATAAAGACTCAAAGCTGTATAGGACATTACCCTTGCGGAAGTCAGAGGGCAGCAATTGGAGATGCCGTGGTCCCTTCAGCTACTGTTTCCTGAGCCAAGGGCAAGATGAAGATGGTGATGAGGATGAAGAGGATGAAGAGGCCTCCCTTCAGGTCTCCTGCCTCTATCGACCACAGTTAACTCAAGCTATGACAGAACCAAGCAACACATCCCTGGCTGCTGGGATTCAGAAGCAAGGAGGGGAGCTGTCCAGAGGATCAGTGCTGAAGGTCTGGGTAGAAGACATGAATGGCCCAGATGACTTGGACTTCAGCAATCTGGCTTTTGATGCCCGGATTGCAAGAATAAATGCCCTAAAGGAGAGCACATACACAATGCCCGATGGGTTCCTTGCAGCCCAAAATGATGCCAATGAGCTGCTGTGCCTCGTCAGGGCAACCAAGGGGAAGAAGGAGGAGTCACACCCCGAAGCATATGATCTTACACTTTCTCAGTACAAGCAACTGTTATCCATTGAGTCCAGACAGTTGGGAAGTGCCTGTAGGAAAATGGCGATGGCTGAGAAAAGCCCAGAGGAGATGCTCCTAGCTATGACTTCCAGCTTTCAAGTGCTCTGTTGTCTAACAGAAGCCTGCATGCGATTAGTGAAAGTTGTAAACTCAGAAACACAGCGGCAGGAAATTGTAGCCAAGATTGATGAAGTGGTCATAAACTACATTTGTCTCCTGAAAGCTGCAGAGGCAGCCACTGGAAAGACCACTGGGGATCCTGATATTGGACTCTCGATGCGACATTCAACCACCATGGCCGCTCTCGTAAGCACACTAACACGTTCTCTCAAGATGCTTTTAAATAAATAAATATGAAAGTCACGTCATAATCTACCTTTGCAAAGCCATACATGAACTTTTATTTACTTTCTGTGTATGATGAACAGATGTCTCCTTTCTTCTCTCTGTATATTTTGTTATTTTATATAAAATAGGAGATAAAAGTTACACTGATGAAATGTTGAAATGTCCTAATCAGATATAGTCTGTTTATATTATACATATATATATATACATTTAAAAGAAATATACAAGAAAGTGATGACATTTGACTATTTTTCATATAGTCAAAACTCCAGGTATATGATGTGAAATTTTAAGTTCTGCCATGTTAGAACAAAACAATGAATCTTTTCCCCTCTCCTTCCAGGTGGGTACTTGGAGATCCTATCACTCATATTTAGAAGTAAAAACCAAACAAAAAATAGAAAAGAAATCACATTGTATATAAAACATTACTTATGTTTTAAAATTATGGTTTTTAAGTATTGGAAATAGCAAAAAGACATTTAAAATTCAAGAAGCTATTATGAATTATTAGAGAATATATATAATAAATAATTTTTTGTGCATAGTGTTTGGTTATTGGATGCTTTCTTCCAAGAATCCTACATATTTAATTTTGGTTTGTGCTATGTGGGCTAAAGATTGGTTGGGAGGTAGGGTCTAATGTCAACACAAATGCTTGTCACAGTGTTTCTAGAATTAAAAAGCTTTCCAAATAGAAGAACAGAGAGAAGGATAGGCAGGTTCCTAGATAATACCTAGAGTTACTAATTGTCTAATTACATTAAATGAATGCAATTAATAATACCAAAATTAATTGTTTTATGAGCAGAGAGATGAGCTTTGACTAAAAGTCAAAATATATAAGCCAAAGATATTATCTTCCCCCAACTCCAACTCAGCCTTGAAGCTTAAAATTCCCTTTACAGTGACAGAACATTTAGTAAATTAATTGCAAAATTCAAGAAAAAAAAAGAACATTTAATCATCATAAAAATTCAGTACAGGCCCAGTAATGTAAACCAGACCACATACCAGCACCTGTAAGCACAGCTCAGCTCTCAGCAGGGTTTCCTGCAGCACCTCTACAGGAGCCATGGCTGCCAACCAAATTTGGAATGCCAGCCTAATACCAGGACAAAATTTCAAATCTGGAATCCCAGAAAATCAAGGAGAGATGGCTACTCTCATAATAGAAGCCATAATTGAATAAGTAATAAGGTATTAAATAAGTACTAAATCTGGAGTAGGTGACAGAAATAAGAAATCTGGGGAGGGGAAAGTAGTAAATTTGACCCATTTCAGTGATAACCAATGGAATGGAAAGAAGTTTTCAGAACTATGACCTAAGAATATATCTATAGGTCAAAACAAAAGAATGCAAACTCTATGATCATAAAATAAAGTTGATATGTACATATGTATTTCCTGGACCATTCAGTGTTCAAGCTATACACATTCCTACTTACGTGACTCCTTAGAATATGACAGTAGTATACCAAGTACAAATATTTCCATCTTGTAGCCTACTGGGCAGGAGGCATAACACAGTCCACAGTTGCTATCTCTCTCTAGTTTAGCCATTTATTCCACAGAGACTAAACAACAAAAGCCACACCACACATTTATAGATGGCAGCAAAGAAAGGAGTCCAGGCATGAGTTATTATAAATAATGTTTAATAAATAATAAAACATTATTTCATTCCAATTATAATTATAAATATTGGTGTTTTGATATTGAGAGATATTAGTGGTGTTTACTGTGGAAAATCTTAGTAAATATCATTCTGTGTACTATAATATTAACAAAATAATAGGATGTGTGCTCTATGTCAGACAATGTGCTAAACATTATCGCATATATTATCTCATTTAATCATCACAACAGTCTTATGGTTTGGACACTATCATTAATTTCTTCTGCAGGAAATATGGTTTAGTAGTTAAGGAAATGGAGTTTGAGATCAGAAACATCTTGAGTTAAATTTTGGTTCTGACATTTTCTAGCCCTTTCATCTTGGGAAAGCTATATTTTTTCTAAGTCTCAATTTCCTCATAGTGAAATGGAGCTCAATTTACATAGGACTGTCATGAGTTTTAAATAAAATTATGTATGTAAAGTTCTTACCACAATATCTGGCAGAGAATTATGTTAGATATTATAATCATCATAATCATTGTGATATATTGCCCAAGATAATATGTGGGGGATGTTTGTTTTATATGCATATTGTATCCTGACTGTGTGCCGAACACATGTGTATTGAAGATATATAAAAGTAGTGTACAAGGAAGTGATGATCCTTGTTCAAATCATATATTTAGTTAGAACAACTTCCTAGTCCATTCTAGTTCTCTGAGAAGCCTCAGGGAAATAGCTCTGGGTCTTTCTAATCAGTCTCCCATTACCTATGGCTGCTCCAGTAAGTTTCTGTTTCTTATAAACAAACTCTTTACTACTCAGAACACCTCAAGGGACCCCTTTCCTGCACAAAGCATGGGGCTCCTATCTGGGGTCGAGGTCCACTAGAGTATAAGAACATATTAGAATGATACTTGTGTTTATTTTTATCTAGCTTTTTTATGTTTGTGTATGTTTTATAATGGCATAATAGTACAGTGATACATGTACATAATTTTAAATAAATAAATGAATGAATAAATAAATAAGCATATGCCTGGTGCATGCATGCAAAAACACTGTCACAGGTAGGATGCATTCACTAAAGCATGAAAGAGAACCCAACTGGAGAACTAAATTTCCTTCAACTGCAGGTCCTCTAAATTTAGTCCCCAGCCTATTTTTCCAAGTTGTCTCTTACCATTTTTTATTAATCTTTTATTATAAAACTTTGAAGGGTACAGAAGTAGACACAATTATATAAGGAACCAGTGAGAACTCATCAGGCAACAACTCCTGTTCAATCTTCTCTTCTACTCAACTCCTCCAAACTGTTTGATTTAGAAGTGAACCTCATATATCATACTGTTGAAGTTGTTGATGATTCTGACCAGAAGATTTGGGTTCTTGTGCTCTGGTGAGGAAGAATCCAAGCAGAACACATGGATGTAGTCAGGGTAACAGTGGAGTTTTATTATAGGAAAGGAAAGGGGATTACAGGTGGGGTCTCTGGCAGGTAGAATGGAAGTGCCATGTGCAGGAGAAAAAAAAAGGGAAGAATTTTTATTTTAAGTTGTTTTTGTTTTTATATCATCCCTAACTTAGAGGTGGAGAGAACACCCATCTCCAATGGCCTTGGGGCAGGGGATGAGGGGGATGTGTGCATACAACAAGGCTAATTCTCAGGTACCCTAAATCCTAAATCCGTGCAAGAGGAAATTTCCACTCTCTAGCCTAACAAAGGATTTGCAATTGAAATGGTGCTCTCTGGGCTCAGAGGGAATGGGTGAGGGAGGAGGGATGCCTGAGGTGCTCTAAATCAGGCTGTACAGTTTTTAAAACTCCTGAACTTTCCCCAATGTCTAGACTGCCTCTATGACTACTTCAGTAAGAACCTTCAAAAGGTAAGAACTTTTTAATGCAATCAATAGTAATTCCTTAATACCATGAAATAAACATTACAGAAATAAATGACAGAGAAAGTGAATCTCCACAATAAATCCAACCCCCAGTGACAGTCATTGTCCACAATTCAGGGCATCTTTTTTCAATTTCTCTATATATTAAGGTTGTCATTATCACCCTATTTATGACTTTGACTTTTAACTCAGAGTTGCTTGGAAGATTGGTCTTTCTACCTGAGTCTCATTTCCATCATACTTCATGTAAGTGGGTTGGCCAGAAGGAATAAAATTGACATGGAAAGAAAGAGTGGTCAGAACAACCAGCACAGCAGTAGGCTTCTAGTAAAACCCAGTTTCTAATGCAATTGTTTCAGACATTAAAATTACCAAGACTCCACTGATCCTAGGCCCAATGGGAATTAGTCTAATTACAAAACAAATTATTTTCCAGAAGAGAGTAAAAACAAATATTGAAGGTCAGACCCAGGCACCAGTAGTTCATGCCTATAATCCTAGCTACTTGAAAGGCTGAGATTGAGAAGATTGCTGTTGAAGCCAGGCCCAGGCAAAAAGTTCATGAGGCACTATCTTGACAGAAAAATGCCAAGCAATCTGGTGTGCGTTGATCATCCCAGCTGCTACAGGAAACCTAAAATAGGATTGGGGTTCAGGCAGCCTGGACAAAAGCAAGACCCTATCTGAAAAAAAAAAATAACCAGAGCAAAAAGAGCTGGAGGTGTGACTCAAGCAGTACAGCCCTGCCTATCAAGCATGAAACCCTGAGTTCAAACACCAATACTGCTAAATATATATATTGAAGGTCAGGCATGGTGGCTCAAACCTGTAATCCCAGCTATGCCAGAGGCATCTGTAGAAGGATCATGGTCAGAGGCCAGCCCAGGCACAAAACAACAGACCGTGCCCGAACAAAACTAAAGCAAAAAGGGCTGGGGGCGTGGCCCAAGTGGTACAGCATCTGCCTAGCAAGCTTGAGGCCCTGACTTCAATCTCCAGTACTGCATAAAACAAAACATGAAATCACAGATACAGCAATACTACAATGGCTCAATTGCTTATGTTAAGAATTTCATCTTTCATTATGATTTCTCTTAGAAATGACACTCTTCACTTGTTTAAGTTCTGCTTCCATACATTTCTAAATGCCAGTTATTACTAATCGGAATGTTATTTCTGAACCACTCAGAATGCTGTTCTAATTTCTTCTGCCTGCATGATCTGATTTGGCAATGGGCGACGTTTCCTCTCCTTGTTTGTCACCCATTGGGATTGTGTTAGCTGTTTTTGAAATGGAAGAAAAGCCAATCAGCTATGTTCAGGAGGTTTCTTATCTTTTCCAAACAATCAGAATCACATTTATGAGACACTGAGTTCAATCCCCAGCACCAAAGGGGGAAAAAAAAAGAAAGAAAGCAAAAGAAATCTTTGTGGGGATCAAAACGCATGAATGCATGAATATTACATTGTCTCTAACCTGATTTTGTCCTTTGAAAGCAGTCAGTTTTGACTTGACTCTGTGTGTGTCTCTTGGTCTATGAGACTGTCTTTCCATTTGGCTTTAATGATTTCTGTGCTAGTTTCTCCTCTGCCAGTCCAAAAACTGTGAAAAAAAATTTAGACATAACATCTGAAATCTTCTTTTAAAGTCAAGTTGCAGCAGTAGCTGCTCAGCTTTGAAAGATCAAAGAGTAGGTATCTTACCTTTTGAACTGAATTTTTATTCATAACAACATGACTATCATTAAGTTGAATACTTTTTTAGTCATTTCAGTTTATTCGCCAGCCTACCTGTCTCACTTTTCAGTTTCAAAGTCCATGCATAGGAGAAACAATCTGTCTGTATCAAATATTGTTGCTGCACAAAAGAATGGAATGAATGAAATCCTACGTCCACGACAGAAATAGGTAGTCAGTTATCCCAAATAGCTTAAGAAGTTGACCTGCTACTTGCAGCTGAAATCATGCTAATCTTTCCTCCACATTAATAATCACATCTCCATTTTCTTTTGCACATTCATTCAGAGCCTTGGATTGAATTGGTTTTGTTTTCCTTCTTTCTAGTCATTCTCATTTTCCACTCTACAGTCTGGACCAAAATTTAGTCCCATTTTTGCATCATTACTCACAACTAGAGACAGAACTTGCTTTGGTAGATGTGTAGGTAGGATTTTGGGAGCTGAGCTTTCTTAGTAACCCCCAACCGAGCAGGGTTTCTGCTGTTTTCATTTTGATTAGTACCCGTTGTCTTCTTGCCCTTCCACTAGTGATCTATAACTCCTTTCTGTCTCCCACATACAGAGGCAGGATGAGTCCATTCATTCATTCAGCAGCTATCAATAACTCCCTAATCCAGGCAAACACGGTGCTACATGCTAGAGGCGGATACAATGATGAATATAATTGACACAGCTGCTGCCTAAAATGGGGTGCCTGTTCTAGAATGGGAAAACCTTTATCATTCATCAAGAAAGGAGGAGTTCAGCATGAGCCAACATTGTAGGTGGCCCTCCTTTGCATGATAGGGTAGGACAAGAAAGATGGCAGACAGATCTTAACAATCAATGAGAAAAAATGACAGTATTCTATGACCTACAAAAATTTTGCTCAAAACTTTAAACACTCTTATTCAGTTACAAATAAATAGGAACATGAAAAAGTATAGTGGAATTGGTACACAGTAATTTTTAGTACACAGTAATTTTTTTTTTTTTTTTGGTTTTTTGAAATGGGATCTTGATATGCAGTCTAGGCTGACCTGCCTCAGCCTGCAGAGTTCTGGGATTACAGGTATGAGACACCACATGTGGTAGTACACAATAGAAAGCCAGGCATGGTGGCACATGTCTGTAATTCCAGCATTTGGAAAGCTGAGGCAGGAGGATAGCAAGTTCTAGTCCAGCCTGGGGTACTTAGTGGAACACTGTCCCAAAAAAATAAGGACCAGACATGGTAGTTATGCATGAGACAGTGATCATGAGGGTCACAGTTCAAGGGCTGCCCAGGCAAAATGCTGGTAGAGTACAAACGCAAGGCTCTGAGTTACTTCAGTACTGTCAAAAAAATAAATAAATAAAACCCAAACAATAAAACAGTAGAACCTTGAGAATTAAAATGAGTCTTTTTTTTTAAACAGTGCTTGTCTTCTTTTCTTCATCACTTACAGTATAGCATGGACAAGCATCTTTTCTAAATTTGAACCAACTTCTAACATTCTTTCACTTGTGCTCTGAATCCTGTGAAATATCTCGAAGAGTTACTTTCATGTGATGTGTTGTTTTTCTCCAGTGTCACTTCCTCTGAGACAGCTTCATCCTTTTCATCTTAAGGACTCTCCTTCTTTAGACTGCACATCTGTAGTCTCAGTCTCGAAGACACCATCATCCCCCACTGTCAGCTACTTCTTTAATTACTCCACTGACATTTGATTTTAATTTCACTTCCAGCCTCATCACTTTTGGTTTCTCTGTCACACTTTCATTTTTATTGCACAGTTCCCTCTTTCAGAGCTCCATTTTTCTAAAATGTTCTGTGGCTTTAGCATTTGGGAGGGGGTGGATGGAAGCAGTACAACTACCTGCTCTGCTGTCTGTGCATGAACTGACCAGCAAATGCTCAGTGGCCAATGCCTGACAACCTCTGAAAGAAGTGAGATGATTGGTCACTCACCATCGTGCATATCTTTCATTTCCATAGAAATTTTCGGATCGAAGAACCAAGAGCAAAGCTTTTACTTTGTACAATTACTCATAGTTAACATACCATGGTAACTGAAATTTAAACCATGTTGGAGACTGGTGATTAGTTAAACCATGCATATCAGAACCATGAATAATGAGGATTGCCAGTACTCAGCTGTTTAAAGGGTCCAAAGCCAGTGGTCAAAATACCACTCAGCACGGTCCAACAGACTTTCCTGCAATAATGGAAAATTTCAAAATATGTAATGCTCAATATGATAGCAAATAGTCTATTAAATGTGTGGCTACTTAGTACTTTTTTTGGCAGTACTGGGGTTTGAACAAAGGACCTCACACTTGCTAGGCAGGCATTCTATCACTTGAGCCACACTACCAGCCCTTTTTTGCATTGGGTATTTTCAGGATAGGGTCTCACAAACTACTGTTTGC